GCCCCCCACTATTCCCCCCCCCCCCCCCCCTTCAAATTCCAAAAGAACGTGCTGTTACTATGTAGTACACGTAAACCCCTTGCAAATTATATTTACCCCCCACCACATGCAAAATACTGCACTGCATCCCAACTGCTGTACCCCCTCTCAGGGAACACAGCACACATCATCCCCTTCCCAATAACCAAGAGATCACCTTGTGTTACTCCAGACACAGCACACTACATTCACAGGTGCTATATCTTACTTCACCTGAAAGTCAAGCCGAGAAACCAACTTATACTTTGTATGGCCACCTTATAAAGCACTTTTATTAGGCTGAGAGGGGAGTGAGGCAGTGAGGGGGCAGAGTGATTATCATGGTGGCTTTTCAGTGCTAATTGTCGTTGTTTGTGTACCTTTACTTTGGTTGCCGTGTCTTCCTTCTCACAACCAAGTAATATGTCAGTTTGCCATTGTGTTTTCTATGGCTGTTCTTAGGTTGTGCAAGCAGTGACTACATGCTTGTGTGTAGCATTGCAGAATATATAGGTACTATATAAATTAAAATGCAGTAATCTCAATGCAATGGCTCCCTTACTAGTGTATTAACAGACCATTTCATGCATGTATCTGACTATTAATGCCTCTTGTCATCCCTTGCGTAATCAGCCTGGAAGAGGGAAGATGCATCACTAGCAGCTAATCAGGCTCTGCTACATGCACATGTGGAGAAAGGGCATATGCTGACAGGAGGAGAGAGCAGAGTGAGCAGGTTCATAGTTTATCAGTGTGGTGCTGCTCTCCTTTGCCCTATCAGCATGTAGCGACAGGTAAATGACACCACTGTATTCTTTACCTTTTGCATTTAAAGTGGTGTCATCCTCTGGGCCTATAATATAAACCTCATGAGCTAAAGCAGTGGTTTCAGGGGTGTGGACATTTTTTAAAATACTTGTCTAAGGACTAAAGCAGGGGCCCAATCTACTTGCTCCTCATGACAAGCTACTTATTCTGATACAAAAAATCATTTTAACCAAAACCCTATTTAACTATGTGAAGAAGCGCTTCTCATTGGTCAGCGTGGTCACCCGAGTGCTCACAATTTGCAAGCGAAATTCAAAATCCATAGGGCAGGGCTGTGCTGGATGGCAGTATGTGGTCAGGGCCGGCCTTTGGGGTGTTCGAGCTGTGCAGCCGCACAGGGCGCCATGGCAACAAGGGCGACACAGCTCGTCCTCTGGGCGGCACAGCCTGCCGCTTCTCCTCACCGCTCGGCCATCCGCCATGACAGCGCTCCCTCCCTCCTCCCCCCCCCCCGCTTCAGCGCTGTCTTTCTCCTGGGATCCCTGTTGCTTCTGCCCATACAGGCAGCGGGGATCCCAGGAGAAAATGTCCGCTGAAGCCTCCGGCAGGGGGCGCAGGAGGGAGCGATGCCTACTGTCAGGATGGCCGAGCGTTGAGGAGGAGAGAAGCCGCAGCTGTCAGGACGGCCGAGCGGTGAGGAGAGCGGAGCCGCTCTCATCCTGTCAGTTTCAGGATAACAGCGGCTGTGTGCGTGGTCGAGCAGAGGATCAGTAAATATCTGCGATATTTACCGATCCTCTGTGCAGAACAAACACTGGAGTGGATCAGCTGATCACTCCAATGTTTGTAAATGACTGGGGACACATAGTACTACCGGTATGTGTCCCCAGTTATGAATGAGCAGGAAGTGCTTTACATCACTTCCTGTTCATTTATGAATTTCTGAATGTGTAGTAGCACTCACTATAGAGGCTTTTCCCCATTCTTAAACTGGTGATAGTAAAATATTTACTATCAGCAGTTTCAGAATGAATGGGAAGCCTCTGTACTGAGTGCTTTCGATTCATTTAGAACAGATGCTGCAGAAAAAGAGATTGTGTCCTCAATTTCTTTTTCTATTTTAAAAGGGAAAATGCCATGGGTCTGTTTAGACTCCTAATATTTCCCTGAAGCCCCCCAACAGTAAAAAATAAAAAAATAGTAAAATAAATAATAAATGTAAAAAATTATTTAAAGGAGAACTATGAGATGAGTGATTTCCAAGGGGTGGGGGGGCGCATTCAGGCGGCACATACAAGCGATCAGACGGCTATAGAGCCGCCGATCAGTTGTATGTGTAACAGCCGGTAATAGCTGTACAGATTCCCATCGGGATTCTGCTCGCACGCGCAAGCAGAAAAAAAAAAAGACGTACATTTACGTGACCCCCTCGGTAAGGGTCTGCCCAACGAGCAGACGGCAAGGGATTAAATGGTGCAGATATGGGAGAAATGGGTGTGGCCACTGAGGAGTGTGGTCACTGAGGGGCACTGTAAAGCTTTCTCGCAAAGGCGCCTAATGGCCTAAGGCCGGTCCTGTATGGGGTACAGATAGTACACCTATACTGGTGGAGGGGAAGGACCATGCACCGAAAGGTAAGTATAGTGCTGGGGGAGGGAATGTGGGGAGAGGGGGCCAGGTTTGAGTGGGTAATTCCATTTTCCCAATTTACTTGGGAAAGTGAACTTACCCTTTAATACATTGTGCGTTTTAGAGAGTGCTGCTTATTCACATGCGGATGGCGGCGGGGCTGGGGTTGGTTTTCATTTTTTTTTCTTTTTATTGTTTTTTACTGAACTGAAAATGCTGCGCTAGGGGGAGGCTGGGGAGCCTCTCGCCTAGCTCAGTGGAAGGCATGTGGCGACCCACTGAAAACGGGGTTGCGACCCACCAGTTGAGAACCACGGAACTAAAGAGTGTCTACCATTATCCATTTATACAAACAATGAGTATCAATGTTGTCCCTTTTTTAAAGGTGAAACTTTAATCATGTGACATAAACCATGTTCCCACAGTTCCCTGAGATAGTCTTTTTCTTTGCAGGTGTTGAAAGAGAAGAAACAAGCCACAGAAAAGCTAGCCTCTCTTTCTATCCAGAGTGAGAGACGGGTTCAAGAACTGGAGAAAAATATTTTGCAGATGAAACAGCAGCAAGGGCAGCTACAGAAGAAGCTTAAAGAGGAGACCGAACAGAAACGGAGACTGGAGAGCGAGATGCAGAAAAGGAGACACCGAGTGAAGGTGAGTGAGCCACTTTGTGCAGATTAAAGAAATATATTTTTCTTACAGTAATCATTCAGTGGTGAACATATTTTCAGACATAAACAGACATAAAAACCACAGCCTAATCTGCTAAACATAATAATTCAGAAACATGCAATGCAAAAGACTTTTTGTTGGAATTACTCATTAAAAAATGCAAAGTTGCCCTTTTGTTTTGTTTTTTTCAAAGGCTTTAGTTGCCTTATTGTGATAAGAAATGCAAAATGGGCCTGGAGCAACTCAGCAGGTGGCAGGTACTAAGAAGACCAATTAACAAAAGATTTCCTGCTTTGCCTTTAGGAGCTTGAGTTAAAGCATGAACAGCAACAAAAGATGCTGAGGATCAAAACTGAGGAAATAGCAGCTTTTCAAAAGAAGAGGAGAAGTGGGAGCAATGGATCAGTTATCAGTCTGGAGCAGCAGCAGGTAAGCTTCATGGATTTCACAGCATCGTCTACTATAGAACCTTTTGATGCAAATGGTTGTATGATTGTTCTTTCATCACCAGCCAAACGGGTTTGCTGCTGTTATCGGTTTAGCAGTGTTTTGTACTTTTTGTGTAGATATAAAGTAAAATAAGCAATTTGACTTTCATAAAATTAGTTGGCAAATCCCCCTGCTTAGCATAACAGTCACCTCCAGTGTGGATAATCTATCTGCATGCGTCTTTTATTTGGTAGAAAATTGAAGAGCAGAAGAAATGGCTGGACAGCGAGATTGATAAAGTCCTGGAACAGCGCCGTGCCTTGGGGGAGTTAGAAGAGGAACTCAAGAGAAGGGAAGGTATATTGACTAAGAAAGAAGCACTTCTACAGGAGAAGAATGATTTAGAGATCAAGAGGCTTCAATCTAGCCAGGTGAGCGTGGGTTTAAATACCTTTAGTAAATGAGATTTGCCAGTAGAGACTTTGAAATACATTAAGGCTGATCACTTGCCGCTATACTATATGCCTTAGCTGTTTAAAAAAAAAAAAAAACTCTTAATGTGTTAAGTAAAGGCAGGGATTAAGGATTGTGGAAATGAGGGTTTATCTTGTACTTCTAGTCCCACTATCTGGAGATCTCAAGATTTAAGCTCTTCCAAATTAAGATTGCTACTTCAAGTTGAGCCTTCCCATGGAAATTGGGAATCTTCAAATTATTTATAATGCTTACTTTAGGTTATAGTTGTAGGCTGCGGATGTATTTGGTGGGCTACTTTGTTGGAGATGGTGCTCCTTGGGGATGAGCTTTGGGTTCGGGTTGACCATGAGTTCAACTCGACCCCAAGATGTTCATAGTTCGACAAATGGATAAACAATTTGGCCAGATTGTCGCCAAACCTTCTTCTGTGTCATAGCAACCAGTGACGCTGTGTGTCTTGTACAGTGTAATTGCTGGCTAGGGCACTAGAGGCTGGTTTGCACGTTGTCATTGTTTGCTAGGTAACAGGCGCACCTCATAACCTATGGCAGTGTTGGCTACCAGTAAAGCTGTGCGGGCTGCACAGTTTTGTTGGTTGCTAGGACACAGGCGTGCCTCATAGCCTATGGCACTGTGAGGGCTGCCAGTGTTGGCTACCAGTAAAGCTGTGCGGCCTGCACAGTGTTGTTGGTTGCTAGGACACAGGCGGCCCTCATAACCTATGGCACTGTGAGGGCTGGCAGTGTTGGCTACCAGTAAAGCTGTGCAGCCTGCACAGTGTTGTTGGTTGCTAGGACACAGGCGGCCCTCATAACCTATGGCACTGTGAGGGCTGGCAGTGTTGGCTACCAGTAAAGCTGTGCAGCCTGCACAGTGTTGTTGGTTGCTAGGATACAGGCGTGCCTCATAGCCTATTACACTGTGAGGGCTGCCAGTGTTGGCTACCAGTAAAGCTGTGCGGCCTGCACATCGTTGTTGTTTGCTAGGACACAGGCGTGCCTCATAGCCTATTACCCTGTGAGGGCTACCAGTGTTAGCTACCAGTAAAGCTGTGCAGCCTGTACAGTGTTGTTGGTTGCTAGGACAAAGGCGTGCCTCATAACCTATGGCACTGTGAGGGCTACCAGTGTTGGCTACCAGTAAAGCTGTGCAGCCTGCACAGTGTTGTTGGTTGCTAGGATACAGGCGTGCCTCATAGCCTATTACACTGTGAGGGCTGCCAGTGTTGGCTACCAGTAAAGCTGTGCGGCCTGCACATCATTGTTGTTTGCTAGGACACAGGCGTGCCTCAGCCTATTACACTGTGAGGGCTGACAGTGTTGGCTACCAGTAAAGCTGTGCGGCCTGCACATCATTGTTGTTTGCTAGGACACAGGCGTGCCTCAGCCTATTACACTGTGAGGGCTGACAGTGTTGGCTACCAGTAAAGCTGTGCGGCCTGCACAGTGTTGTTGGTTGCTGGGACACAGGCGGCCCTGGGTTCGATTCACTTGTGTTTGCTGAACCCTGACTTCTAACTGGGTCCTAGATGGAACGCATTGACTTCCTGTGCATCAAAAGCAGTGTTGTACTAATCTATGTATGAGGGGTAACCTTTGTAGTAAAGATGGCTGGAAAGGTTGTGTAAATAATAAATTACCTACCAAGGTTTGGGAAAGTTCTGGTAGGAAGTGCCTCAGTGGGACTGAAATTGCTCGTTCAGGAACCACCACAAGTGACTTTCTTAAAACACAGATGAAGAGCCTATAAAACCTTTTTTAAATGACTTTTATGACTTTGCAAAGGCATCCATATAGAAAGCCACTTATGCTCCACTTATTAGTCCTTTCTTACACTTACAGCTGCAGGTTTCCTTTTTGTGAACAGTTTATAACACTCTCTCCCATGTGCCGGCTTATTCAAGCTGGGAACACACGAATGTCCTTCTGAATCGGCCGGAATTTCATCCGTGGGTGGGCCTGTCTGTTCAACAAAAGTTAGAGCTAATGATCGACTTTTGTCGGAGGGACATGCTGGAAAAAGGCTGAACAATGCTAGCAGACAATCAGCTTACATACACAGCAGGACATTAATTTATCTAAGCTGTTAGCGTGGATGGACGAATTTGTCAGATATGCTGAACGATAAAACTTTGTGTGTACCCAGCATGTGATTGTACAGTGAAGGAACTGCACCACTTTGATGTTCATCACTGAGCTCTTGGCTAAGCAATATTGTCTGGAAAGGTTGCCCTCACTCTCTTGTTTAGCTGTGCAGGAAATTGCAGGAGGCTGAGGTCATAGGAAAGTGGTAGATATTCTAGTTTTATGTGGAATATATTTAGTGTTTCCTCTTTTATAAATATGCAACTGACTTATTTTGAATTATTAGCCTGGCGTTCACTTTGACTTTAGAAAGTTCTTCTGTGTCAGCTTTTTTATATTTATATTATAAATGTATGTATTTATATCTAATCTTTAGGCTCTAAGTAATGATATTGTCAGGGTGTCCAGCCGCATTGAGGATCTGGAGAAGGAGCTGAATGAGAAGAATGGACAGCTCCGCCAGGGCAGTGGCTGTGACCAACAACGCATACGAGATGAAATCAATAACCTGCGACAAGAGAAGGATCTGCTGCTAAAACAGAGGGTGGAAATAGATGAGAAACTGCGGCAGGGAAACCTCCTTTCTGCTGAGGTAAATAGTTTTTGTCCATTGAGGGACATATTCCAAGATTTTTCCCCATGACTCTGTGATGCGTGACCTGTATACATAGAAAGGCAGATGAATATCTTTATCTGCTTTATACTGATAGTAATGAGGAGATCATAAAACTGCTCTCTGCAACTCCATTCCTGCACTACAGGAACTGTCGCACTATACTACAGAACCACACTGCCAGTACTGTTAACCTTTGCGTGCACTTGGACAGCTTGCATTTCAGATGGGTCCACTAGGTGGTATTCCAGGGCTAGAAACTGATGTTTTCACTCCCTGCCATTTCCTTGGCTTCTCAACTCCAACTTCCTGTGCCACCACACAGATTAGTAAACCTCCATCGAGCTCTCGGTCCTTTGGCAGAATATTTTAAAGTCGCTGTGTCATAGGTGTGGGACGCTGGATGTGGACCTCCTGGCCTTCAGGTTTAACAATAAGCTGGACAGGTTTGTGTCCTGGTACAGGGATCCTTTTAGTGGAAGCAGTGGATGCCCTGGTTGCTCTGTGGGATCAGTACACCCTGATCTATGCATTTCCTCCCTTGAAACCTCTTTCTCGCCTGCTTCTCAGGGCCAGGCTGGAGGGCGTCCAGATCGTTAGGATCTTTTGTCTCAAGGACCGATTTGCCATCCTGCTTCATGGTTGCTGACTTTAACGGCATGTATGTTGAAGCTCGGGTTTTGAGAGACGGGCATCTCAAAATCTGTTATTCCTACAGAGCAAAAAGCAAGGAAGGTCACTTCCCGCAAGATCTTTTATTGGACGTGGAAGGCATACTTTACTTGGTGTGAGTCTCTGGGCTTCCAACACGCAGTTACTCAGGACGAATTCGACTATATCTACGAGTGCTCCTTGGGATTTTCTGCATCAAGCAACTGTTACCCACACTTGCGAGGCTGACACCTGGTCACATGTTTTCTAAGTTTTACCAGGTGGATGTTGCAGCCTCATCTGATGCCAAATATGAGTGTAAAGCCCTCCGGCTGTCTTCTACAGCACGACGGCGGTCTCCGGCTGTCTTCTGCAGCACGACGGCGGTCTCCGGCTGTCTTCTGCAGCACGACGGCGGTCTCCGGCTGTCTTCTGCAGCACGACGGCGGTCTCCGGCTGTCTTCTGCAGCACGACGGCGGTCTCCGGCTGTCTTTTGCAGCATGTCGGCAGTGACATCTCCATCCACATCACACACCCACTTACTTGAATCATGGGGTCCTTCTGGACACAGGCTGCTGCTGTTATGTCAAAAAAGTTTCCCAGCACACTCACCAGTATGCAAAAAAAAAAACCTGTCTAACCGCTAAGGTTAAAAACAGAGGTTTTAGATGCACGTCTTCTGCAGAATATGTGAAAGCCGCACTGCCTCGTCAAGGCACCTCTAAGTAGTGCGGTCCTAACTCTAAACTATGAGAGTCTCCATCTTGGAGCACATGTAGCAAAAGATAAAATTGGGTGCAGGTTAGCCAGGAGGCAGCCCAACCCCCTTAGAGGTACAGGGACACACAAGGGACCCCGCACATAAAACGGGAGCTGAGACCCCAAGTGTGTCACTGCACCAAATCAGTCAAGCAAAACAAATGGCAAACACACTCCAACTCATACTAGCTTTAAAGCAAGGTGCGCATGGAAGGGCACCTTGCTTTAAAGCTGGTTATGAGTTGATGAGTGTGTTTGCCATTTGTTTTGCTATTCACAGTTCTGTCTGTCACTGCAACAGAGGTACTTGTAGTTATCAATGGAATACAAGTGTGGTGACATCACGTATTCCATTGACACCTCCTCCCGTCCCTGTTACTAAATGTCCATACCTTGGTACAGACAGGGAGTGCGGACAGGAAGGTCTGCAGAAGCCAAAGCGTTGCACCCGTGATTCCGCAATTGCAGTTGCAAAATAAAATAATAAATGCACTTCTTTTATGAATGTGTGTGCATTTATTATTTTTTTTAAAGGTGGAGTTTAGCTTACAGTTACTTAGGCCTAATCCGTTTTCTCCAGCTGCATAGAGACCTGTCACTGACCAACTTTTGCAAAGTTTTTTTTAATTATTGTTTGAATGATGAATAAATCCGAGTCGAACATTCATTGCAGCCATGTTTAATAAATATTGTTAACAATAATAAAAAGAATAATTTTCAGTTTTCTAATTTCCCCTTAGGAAGAGAGGATCCTGTTCCGGTTGGATGAGGCAATAGAAGCTCTTGATGCGGCAATTGAATACAAGAATGAATCTATAACACGCAGGCAGCGTGTTCTTCGAGCCTCAGCTAGTTTGCTCTCCCAGTGTGAAATGAACCTCATGTCAAAGCTGAGTTATCTGTCCTCCTCGGAAACCCGGGCCCTCCTCTGTAAATATTTTGACAAAGTAAATCTTCCAGTGAATTGGCTACAGCCAGACTGCTCTGTGATGTGTTACGTTGAAGAATGCAGAGAATGGAGTGTGTATATGTCTAGTCCGGGCCTCAGAGAGCACTGAATACACTTTACTAAGACTAGTTGTACTTGCACGGATTTCTCTTGTTCAATTTGCGGGCTGATCAAGTGAAATTGAATAGATTCCCCTAGGACTGAAACAACTAATCGTTAAAGAGAATCATTGTGAATAATCCTCTATCGATTAGTTGGTCTTGTGCCCCTGCTTCTCTCCTCCATGCTGGGAGCTAGCGTTCCATTGATTGTGTCCTCTTCCAGCTCCGCTGCTCCCAGCGGGGATCAAAGGGGACACAGACCCCCAGAGCCCAGCGGCGAGGAGAGTTTGTAATGCTCTGGACTACAAATCCCAGAGATGTCAAGCTTATCCCAAGGATGAGCCCAGCTGTAAAGCTTGGCAAAACTTTAATTTCTATTTGTCTGTTCTTGCAGTAAATCCACCAAACCATACCCCCGGCCGCCTCATCCGCTCTGCTACCACCCTTCTACAGCTCTCTCCTACCCCCTGGGAGCCCGCTGCATGCTGCAGTCTGTGTCCCCTCCAATGCCTGTAGCTCTCATCCACCTGTTATGGCAGAGGCAGCCGGGATCGGAGGGGACACGACCTTTCATGCGGCCGCGTGGCTCCACGCGATCGGACTTGCCTCCCGCCTGAATTTCTCCCTGACCCTTTTTTTGCTGTGCTGATCAGCGCGGTTTCCATACTGCTTTCAATGGAACTGCGCTGTTAAGCGTGATTTTGGGCGCTTTTAATTGTGTTTCAGCGCTGAAAGGCAATAAAAACGCCCAAAACCACCCTTTTAAAAACCTCACGGAAACCACGCTGAACTGCAACAGCCCTAGTGTGAATATGGGACCTTAGTATCGTCTGAACAAGGCCTTTAATCTAAGACAGACATGACGTACAAGTTTCACCCGTATACTGCTAGCCGTGAATTCAGCCAGACTTAACTGTTTTACAGGTAGTTACACTGCGTGAGGAGGAGCACAAACTGCAGATCTCCTTCTCCGAGTTGGAAATTAAGCTGGAGGAGCAGCAGCGGACGATCTACTGCTTGCAGGTGTCACTAGAACGGCAGTGCCTGGAAATGGATCGTCAGCTTACCTTGCAGCAGAAGGAACATGAACGTAACATACAACTATTGCTAAGGCAATGCCAAGGTCTGTGAACATCTTATTTATATACCTTGTACTCTGGGTGTAAATATTTTTAACCCTTGCAGTGGGGCTACCCCTGCACTGCAAGGCTTAAGTGCTCATTTTTGACTGGCCTCTCAAGCCTGTCTCCTCCTCCGCTCCCGCGATGGCATGTCCCTCGCTATACACTTTATAGGACGTGATGACTCGCAGGACCTTAGACCGCTGGAGCGGAGGGGGAGTGAAGCTTCAGGAACCAGTCTAACAACCAGTCAGCTACAAAGTTCAGATAAGTATAACTTTGTTATTTTCACCCCGAGACGAAAACAAGCACTTAACCCTTGCAGTGTGGGGGTAGCCCCACTGCAAGGGTTAAGAATATGTATGCCTGGAGTTCTTGTTTAATAAGCAGCATGGCGTATGTTATCTGAATATGAGCTGTGTACTTAAGTATACAATATTGTGCTGCTATTTCTGCTTCTTATGAGAACACACCAATGCATTGTGTCTAATTGTCAGAAGTGTGGTGTACTCCAAACGGTGTAACGGCCAACTTATGTGAGTGCTGCAGTGAATAATGGCGGATGGCACCACCATTTATGATCTGTAATAGTGAAATGTCACCAGCACATCACAAGCTCAAACAAGAGCAGTTTATTAGCAATGTTTCGGAGCCTAAACAAGCCCCTTCATTGGGCAGTCAGTGACAGTTGTCAGAGCATTGCACTCTGACATCAATTGCACTAACTAATGCTTTCTACTAGCAGAGGCAAGCAAACAGGGGTAGAAGAACACCCCAGAAACCAGTGCACTGGATCTTTGCATTGATGCAACATACAAGAAGCAAGTATAACTTTACAACAGACTAGGGCATATGCAATGGCCTTGAGTTCTTACTAAGCTCTTATTGATTATGATCTCACCAGACTTGCAGTGTAATAACTCTTTACAAGTACTTCACAATCTTTGGGTCTCATTTTTGTGACCACTATCTTTCTGGAAATGGAATGGACTTTTGCACTTAATGTGTTGACTTGTTTGCCTTTCAGACCAAATGGGTGAGGGATTGGCTGGAAGCAAGAGACAGTATGAAGGCAGGATCCAAATGCTTGAGAGAGAACTTGGCTGGTACATGTGGGCTCACCAGGAGCTTAGTCAGAGACTGAACAAAATGGCTGTCCCCCTGAATGCTCCAGGAAATCAAGTGAAAGGTAAGCGTTTTCAAAGTCCTTGCAATCCCCGCCGACCTCCACGCAGTCTCTCTTTTTTGTTCTTTCCTGTGTCTGTCCCTTTCTTCTTCATTTCCTTCCTCTTACTGGAGGTTTTCATGATAGTTACGGTCCGCACCATGGGTCCTATGTGCGACATTTAGCCATTGTTTTTTGCTGTGCCCTCTTTAGTCTTTAAACTGTTGTGGGCTTCAGTACCAGTGTCAACTATTCTAGTGTAGCGCACCCCCTAAGAAGTAGCATACAGTAGTGTGATGCAATGTGTTTCCTCTGTGATGACCCTCAATAATAAGTACACAGCACACCTTGAGATGAAAAATTCCTCAGTCGTAGGGTTGGTTGCTATAGCTTACCGCAGCTCAGTAATCTTCATGTCTAGGGGTATTTACATACACATTGGCAATTAGCACTTACCACCCTCCATGGTGACCGATAAAAGCGAGGTCCAGACTGTAGACATGATGCTGAGGAAGCTTATTGAGGAACTTCAGGGAGAGAGGTTGAGGGTTAGGATCATCCAGGCCGGTGTGGACTCCTTTAAGTGGTAGTGTGCAGGAGCTGTCTCCATTCACAGCATGAAAAACACCTGGTACAGTAGTACTGGAGATAGAAGTCACCATTCATCTTCATCCTTGTCATCCGGAGTAACCACCGGGCCTCCAGACTCGGGCATCAGTGTAAGCATATAAGACCGTCCATAGCAGCCTCCCCCCAGGCAGGGCCCGAGGGAGGAAGCGAGAGCTCACATGGTCCACCCCAAGTTTTTATCTCCTCCCAAAGCATGCACCACCTACCATTAACCCCACAGTGATTGGCTGGGGAGACATACCTACTCATAGCAATCTCTCATTGGTTGCTCTGCTCTGTGGTACATCCAGCAGCAGACAAAGGCAAACGATGACAGACGGATTAGGGGAAACCAAATGAACATAGACTACAAATCGGCATCAGACTGCATACAGTCTGACAATAACTAACTACATTTGATAGCACTCCTGCCTACAAGGTGCTACACTAGCTCTGTATTAGCTGCTACTTAGATTAGATTTATGCTTCATCAGCTTCTCTGGAGGTCCCCAGGTGACATTAAGGGTCTTGGAGACCCCTCACGTCTCCATAAAGAGGACCTGTTATGTAAATTGGCTATCGCATAGGGGGCTAAAAAGCTCCCTATGTGATAGCAATAAAGTTAAGTGTAAAATAAAAAAAATTGTGTTTAAAAAAAAAAAAAAAAAACATTTCAATTCCGCTGCCCCCGCGCCTACATGCGAAAACGACTATTGTGCTGCACATATTACATATCACCGAACGTCTGAGTGTGAGCAATAATTTTAGAGCCATTAATCACTGATAACAGTAAACTGATGAGCAGTAAAAGCGTTTAAAGTGTCGCCTATGGTCAATTATCGGTGTGGTCGTTTTTTGCGGGCGCGTGTAATTTTAAGGCTAAGACATGTTTGGTGTCTTTTTACCTGAGGTGACCCCGTCTTTTATATTTTACCAAAAATATGGGTAAGAATATATGTGTTTTTTTTAACATAACGTTAGGGAAAACATTTTTTTTTTTCTTCGAAATTGAAAGTACTTTTTTCATTTTATAGTAAAAAATACCCCCCCGAGGGGTGATTATATACTTCCAAAAGAAAGCTCTATGTGTCCCCAAAAATTTTTAACATAAATTGCAAGGCTATAGTCCGGTCATGCTGACTGGTGACATTTTTGACTGGTGAGACACCATAAAACTTTTCAAGCCCTGCTCATGATCTTCTCAATAAAAACGTTTGCACAACAAAGTCTTTGCAAACAGCCTTGATTGTCTGGAGTATGCTAATCCGTGTCATTTCTCCTTTTGAAGCTCCTCAAGGAGATGGCAGAGTCATACTGAACACCGACAGATATGTCTCCTTAGTTGCGTGTGCCGAAGAAAATAATGTCAACTTGAACAGTCAACCACCAACTCTAGAGCGCAAACTGAGACCCGGAGAAGACTTGATGCATGTGCCATTACCGCCCACATGGAGGCGCTCCTCCCTACCTTCTGAAGAGCAGGCCGGACTGGAAGAGCTTAGACATCGGGACACTGTAATTGAACCACTGAACAGCAGGCTGGTACAACCAAATGATGGTGTTTCTCAAAGACCTCTTATGTACCTGCCCAAATCCCGGCGAGATGTTCGCAGATGTAATATAAGTGTCATGCCATTGATGTCTAATGTGGAAATGATTGATGTACGAAGAAACCCACTGTGAGAACAGTTCAAACCCCTTTTCTGATGTTCCTGAAATATGAGCACATTGGGGGACATTTATCAGTTCTGTGGCATGGCAAGTTAATGTTAAACAGAAACAATGAGACAGATTGTGCAACAGATTTACTACAGTGTTGCAGCTTGAGTGCTAAATTCTTCCATCAGCTGCTCTAAGGTAGCAATACAACAGAATAAAACCTGACCCCGACCGTTTCTTAATTATGCATCTGTTTAAAGAGGAAATCTATTGCATCTTCAGTAACAAATCTGTATTCAAACTTTGCGCACTGTCGCACTGCCCAGGAATGCAGGCCTGTAAACCTGTTGCTGAAGTAGAGGCAGCCTGATTTGCAACTCATTTTCTTGCTAATTTGCTTGATGAATGTCCCTCATTATGTTAACCTGTGTGAATACACATTGTGACTAATGCAATGCATGTGTTTAAAGTGGCCCTGTCACATTCAAATTAGAAAGCTGCTAGCAGCAATACATTGTAGGCACCTAAGGCTGCACATTGTCAGTATAAAACTGAGCATTTCTGGGTGGGTGGGGGTTCACAAGCAGCTCACAGTGGTAACAATAATACTGCCAAACAATGTTCAACGTTGCGCAGTGCTTGTTTTTCTGCAAGTTACATGACTTAAGTTTTACTTGCTCATTTTTGTGTGCTGAGCTGCAATCACTGTGTAGCCCCTGTCTGAACTCAGAGGAGCACACACCTGTTACAAAATGTATGGCTGGAAAAGTGTGGCGTTTTAAGTGTTACCTTTTCTTATTTAACTGAAATTAGTTTTCATGGCAACCAATCAGAATTGCAGTCAATCTGATTGGTTAGGTGAAAGACAAATACAGTCCGCACACCAGCAAACACTGCAGCAGTAAATATTTGATTGAGGCTCATCCATGTTACAAAAGTCGCGCCCCTTACTAACGCATTTCACCCAATACCTGGCTTTGTCATAGAGATGGGGGTGGATCATGAGGAGGGCAATATATTTGTTGCTATGCACAGGTGACAGCTGCAGACTTTCAATTAGTTTAAGGGAGCATACACGGCAGAAATCCATGCAATGTAATACACAGCAAGTCTACTGCATAATGACTAATACAGAAAGATTATTATTATTATACAGGATTTTTCACCTTGTTTGTATCGCAACTACAGTATAATACAAAATACACTATAGCCATCTTATATATACACATATACGCAAGAAAATGCCCTCCCAATGAGCATATATATATATATATATGTATACACACATCCCTCCCCATGTCATAAAAACTACCTTTAATGAACTAACAAAACAAATATGGCAAATATTCACATGACTCAAACATGAAAATTGCTGACCCAATATAAACACCGAACCTTAAAACCCCCACAACCTAAGGGGGAATATGACATAGTATCACTACAGTCAGCACTTTATTGTTCCATTATCGATACAAAATTGTAATACCTAATCATTGATGGATTTTATAATGCCTAATTCATGAAGAGATTACTGTGGGCAGCGATATGCACATTGGATACATGTTATGCATGACCTGTATCCTGTAATGAATGTTCATTAATACAAGGGGATCGAAATCAAATACTTAAAGGAGAACTATGAGTTGAGTGAAAATCTCTCATCCTCATAGTTCGAGCCAACCTGTGACAGTGAAGCAATGAAACAAATAGATCGGGAAGAGAGCGAACGCATACCGTCGCTCGCTCACTTCCTGATCGTCTCCCTGCAGTGGGCGGGGACTGTCAGTCACAGCTCCCTGCAGGGATTTCCCCCCTCCCCGCTCCGATCCTCCAGTGCTGACTGGAGGATCCGACGGGGGCGGGCACAGCTGGCTCTGCCTTTGGATAGGCAGAGCCAGCAAATGACTACCTGTCAGCAATGTTCCACTTTAAGTTGTGGCAACTGATCAGTGGTATATCGAGGGTACTGTAGGGCTCATTATTCCTGTGATCATGAATTATGTGTAATAAATGCCTTCACACTATTTTTGCAGTTATACTCCGAAGTGCATAGCAAATACCAGCTTTGTTACCTCCGCCTTGATTGTCCTTCCCTCAAAGACTTGTGCCTTTTGGCAGCTGCAGGGTATCTGCATGCTGATTTTTCCATGTACACAATATCACTATGCACTTCTCGCATCTGTTGTTGCCTGGCTGTCATGGCAGCCCTCTGGCTTCAATACTATCTGTGTAACAGACCAAGGACCTACATGCAAATTACAACTGACTTCACATGCTGCATGCTAATTCCATGTCAGTGGCTCGGCACTGAAATCAGAGACAACCAGGCATTTAGCATTTTCAGAAGCTGTGCAGCTATGGCATCCTGCTTATTTCTCTCAGTATGGGAAGATTTATTTCAATGAAACCCTTCATGAGAAACAATGAGGGCTGCTATTGCTGACCTTGTTCTAAAAATGCTAGATGCCTGACGTACTCTGGGTGACTCAGAAAGGACTGAAGCCAGAGGGTCAGAGTATGCAGATCAGGAATGTTAGAGAAAATCCACAAGACCTTATCTGCACGCTATTTCCTGATCAGTAAGACCTCATCCACATGGGCGAGTGAGGCCGTAGAGTGTAAATTGAGAGCTAACCAGCTGTGGTACATCCGCCCATAGTAGGCGTAAGTACACAAGTACTACTAGTACACAAGTACTAGTAGTACTTGTGTACACTCTTACATGTTCACTGGCGTATGCAAGCCTGGACGCAGCTAGTCTGCATCCAGGGGCAGGCGGCTTTACGTAGGTAGCTGTGTAAACCCGCCTACATCCTCCAACCCCCCATTCGCAACTATGGGTGGCTGTATGCCGCAGCTGGTTATTCCGAGCGCAGAAATACACCTGCAATTTACACTCCATGGCCGCATGCCCCTTGTACAGATGAGGCCTTACTCTTGTGGAAATAGCAGACTTTCTCTAACTTCTTTAAGTCAGGCGAGTATATTCTCTTTACAGGCAGTCCCCGAGTTACAAACATCCGAGTTACGTACGACTCGTGCTTACAAACAGAGGTCATAGGCTGTTCCACTAGTGCTACCTTTAACTAAAAACACGTGCATTACAAATAAGGGATAGAAGCACATTATTGCATTGTACAGCGTTTTCTGGTTTCACCTATGCAGTCGTTTTAGTTTACATGTACATATGTATTTTTTTATGTTTGTAAATGACTTTTTTTACATTTTCTGTATTTTTGTAATGTTGTATTACAATAAACTTCTATTTAAGTGCTATACGTGTGTGTGTGTGTGTGTGTGTGTCAGTTACGCAAAAGAAGACACCAGTTTATGATAGCAGGAGATATGAACCGTCTTAAAGGAAGTATTTATTTTTTTAGAAAGCTGTTTGTCTGATACATGGCGGGGACTATAACTAGCCATGTTTTTCTGTATGTACTCAGCTGCAAAATATGTCCATAATAAAAATAACATTTCAATACCTCTTATTTACTTATGTTGGATTCAGATGCCTCTCACCGGCCTTCTTGTTAATGCCAATACAACCCGATTCTTCTTTAAACTAAATGCCATAGTGACCACCCTGCACGCATCTTGCAGAGAACAGAATGGGATGTTGAAGAGTCCTCAGCTGGTTGCCCACAATCTACTTCTGCTCCAATCTGTTACATATGAGGGTGCCGAATGGCCATTCCCTGTGGAGGTCTTGTATGATTGAAGAGCTGCATGCACACATCTGTCAGCCTGGAAATGAATATCATTTTCAAATCCATGTTGGTGCGTTCCTGTAACTCTACAGCAATTGCTCCCATTGTTTCCTGGCTGACATAATTGAGTGTCCCTTTCTCTGCTGGAAAATTGTCAGCAATGGAGCCCATTTAATTCTAGAATACCAAATGTGAAGGCTGGTGTCTATACATCAAGCTACCAATCCAAGCATTGGTTGGCTTTTAACAGATGCGGCTCCACCAGTTTGTCTAAATCCGAATGATGTTAAATCCCAGAAACAAGTTTTTTGCTTGCACAATGATAATTCCATGTAACATTATTTTACAGTGTATGTTAGGCAGTTTATTTATTGGTTATATATATATATTACGGATTTACTTGCAATGCCTTCTGCTGGTGAAATCTGGCACAGCAGGAAGTTATAGGTGGGGATCCCTCCATGTTAGTATAGAGCAGCCTTTTCCAACCAGGGTGCCTTCTGGCTTTGCCAGGGGTGCCTTTAAATTTTTGCTGAAGGGATTGGCTTATGAAGTGAAAGGGGAGATCTGATGTGATGGGGTTTCTGATGTGAAAGAGGTCCCTTCTTAAAATCCATACCAAGCCCCTGTCTAGAATAAGGGTTTGGAATTGATTTTAGAGGGGAACCACATAGACTGGGGTGGTTTTTAGATTTGGCATACTTTTTAAAGGTGTCATGGCTGAAAAAGGTTGAGAAACACTGGTACGGAAGGATGCTCCAAACACTTTAGGGCAGAGGTAAGCAACCAAAGCTGGATTGCTGAGGTTCCCTACCCCTGGCTAAGGGACTGATTTATAACATGTTTGGCCAGCGAATTTCCTATGCTCTTTGGCTCCATCTAGTGGCAGTAATGTGCTTAGAATATCGTTCTCTCAGCTATACGCTGGGCAAACACATCATACAGCAGCCCCTTCGGGTCTTTGTTTTATTTTCCCTCAAATCCTCTTTGTATTGCCTTGATACAATATAGAGCTATCTATAGACCTTAATGATTTGGTCATTGGATCATGCAAGATCTGGCCACCATTCTTAATATTTGTATACTTGCGTTTATAAAGATGGGGGTTGTACTTTCTGCTAATCTCTGGCACAGATCTCTCTTAGTGGAAAGCAATAGTGATCGGACATAAAAATTCCATCATGGCTGACTTTTAACCTCCCCCACCCCTTCCTTACTAATGAAGTATATAGCGGTCAGAGAAGGAGCCTTAAGGGCTTGTTCACACCAAGCCCGGAGCAGATGCAGAGCAGTTACAGAACGCATTAAAAATGCATCCAATGTCTTCCAGTGGTATTTTGGGCTCTACTTCACACCACAGTGTTCAGTTCCAGAGCATGTGGAAAAACTGCAGCATGCCCTATTTTTTCTGCTTTGGAACGCACCAAAATGCATGCAAACGCATCAAAAAGGCATGCAAACGCCCTGGAATGCACTGAAAGCGCATTTTAGGCTAAATAAAAAACAAACAAAAACAAAACGGCTCACAAAGCATCAAAAACGCGGCAAAACACACTGCACGAAACTCATGTAGACCTGGTCCGCATTTGGTGTGAACAAGCCCTTGTGCCTGCAGTCCGGTCCGGTGCGATCAAAATAGTGCTTGCAGCATTTTAAACGGACCGGACCGCAGGCACAATGTGCCTTGCAATCCCGTGCGGGCGATCGCATTGCGGCCGGAGGGCGTGGCTACGGTGCCATTCACTTCAATGGCCCGCCACGCCCCCTCCTGCCCCACAAAAAAGTGAGGCGGCCGGAATGCGATGCAGTGCGTTCCGACCAGAATCAGACCGGAACGCACTGCATATGGTGTGAACTAACCCTTAGTGTTTTATTGTGGTTTGGAAGACTTCCTGTCTGAGTGACATTAACTGGGACATAGCAAAACAAAAAAAGAAAATGCTTTCCCTGGAGCTTCCCTCGGGAAATCTTTATGGCCAAATTGTTTGTTATTATACCTATGTAAATGAGACCGTTGCAAGAAAACAAATTAGTATTTTCAGAGGAAGTCAACTACGCTGATGAAAAGTATTCATTTTGTACTTACCGTCTGCCATAAATAGATGCCGGACTGCAAACTATCCGGCTGACCGGATAGTGCCTGAGCAATGAGGGTAGCTGATTGGCTGCAGTGACTGTTCGGCTGGCACTTTTCAGCCAGGCCCCTTCACCAAATGTTGAGTAATTGATTTTTGTGAAGCAGGCACAGCCCCTGTCTAAGGCCCCATTCACACTGAGCGATTTTCTTGCGCGATTTTTGCAGCGATATCTCTCATATTTCCACGCAATATCGCTCTATGTAGCTTCTCCAATCCATTTATATGGAGCTGTTCACATCTCGTCGCTCAATATCGCTCAATATCGCTTGTAGCTCGTCGCTGGTAGCTTGTCGCTCCTACATGACCCTTTTTTAGAACGATTTCGAGCGATGTTGCTCCTGATTGCATACAGCCCAATAGGAAAAAGTCGCTCAATATCGCTCGTCGCGCAATATCGCTCAATATCGCGCGATTTTCATGTCGCTCAGTGTGAATGGGGCCTAATACTTGTAAATTCTAACAGTGTATCACCAGCTTAACTCCATAAGCACCCTTTCGCTGCCAGGGCCATTTTTTTGCACACATTATAATCCACAATTTAGGCCTGACAATTACTTCAAACCCCCAAACATTATATATTTTCTGAATGTCAACACCCTGTACAATAAAATGATGGTAGTTGCACATTTTCATGTTGCACGATATTGGCGCAACTCTTTAGCAAATCCCAAAAATTAAGTGAAAAAATGCACAAAAGTTCATTTTAGTGACCTAAAACACAAGAAAATACCCATGTTTGTGATAAATTATTAAAAAATGAGGTTACGACAAGTAAATAGATACCCAACATGCCCAGGTTCAAAATTGCCTGCGTCCGTGAAATGGCAACAAAACTCAGTACCCCAAAAAGTCCATAGACAACATTTTAGAAAGCCCCTACAGGTCATCAGTTTAGTGATATGTGTAAATATTTGCCCTAGAATTATTGCTCTCACTCTGGTGTGTGCGGCGATACCCAACATGTGTAGCGTGATCGAAGTTTTCTTACATAGGCGCACCTGACACACTTTACCGGCACATAGAAGCGATCTGGCAGCAGCTGAGCCACCAGAATTGCCGGCACATCTGCCAAAGAAAATAATAAACTTGGAAGTGGTTCTTTAGACTACTTTTTACCAATTTTCTAATACCATCAGGCAAACTGAATAACAATTGAATGAATTGTGGAATGCCAATTTACTGACACAGCAGATCTTTGCTTGTCTTTGTTCATCACTGACCAGTTATTTTAATGTGTGTATTAATAAGCACAATGTACCGGTAAGTATATACTAGTATATAGTAAAGGTTCAAGATTGTATGCATAGTGTAACCTCAGAATAAAAAAGTCGAGCCAGCCAGGAGTCGAACCTAGAATCTTCTGATCCGTAGTCAGACGCGTTATCCATTGCGCCACTGGCCCGTTAATGAAAAGAAATTTAACTCTTCCTCACCCAGAGGAGGGAGCTGTCATCCAGGATGGCCAAGCAGTAAGGAGAGAGAGAGCCTCTGGCTGTCAGATCCTGGCCGAGCGGCTCTCTCTCTGCTCACCACTTGGCCATCCTGAAGTGAGAGCTCTCCCTCCTCCACTCAGCCACGCGCAGAGCCGCTGTTATCCTGAAACTGACAGGATGACAGCGGCACCGCTCTCTTCCTGAAAGCTGCGGCTTCTCTTCTTCCTACCGCTCGGCCATCCTGACAGCAGGCAGCGCTCCCTCCTGCGCACCCCCCAGGCTTCGGCCGACAGTTTCCCTCCCTGGGGGTTTCGAGGACAGCGCTGAATGGGGGCGGAGGAGGGAGCGCTCTCATGTCGGATGGCCGAGCGGTGAGGAGTTGAGAAGCGGCAGGCTGTAGCCGCCTCAAGGACGAGCTGTGTTGGCCGCCGGGCGACCTTGTTGCCATGGCGCCCTGTGGGGCCGCACAGCTCGAACACACCAAAGGCCGGCCTTGTGTACAAACAGCGCACAGCTCACATAGGTGTGGGTCTCTAATGAGACATATAGTGAACTATACACACAGCACACCATTCAGATGGGTGTGGGTATCCAATGAGACGGATAGTGAACTATACACAGAGCACACAACTCACATAGGTGTGGGTGGCCAATGAGACGAATACTGAACTATACACACAGCTCACAGTACAGATGGGTGTGGGGCCAGTGGCGCAATGGATAACGCGTCTGACTACGGATCAGAAGATTCTAGGTTCGACTCCTGGCTGGCTCGACTTTTTTATTCTGAGGTTACACTATGCATACAATCTTGAACCTTTACTATATACTAGTATATACTTACCGGTACATTGTGCTTATTAATACACACATTAAAATAACTGGTCATACATTTTTCATGGATTTTAATTTGTCTATATATTGATATAAATTGCGCAGCACATTCAATTCCTCTACAATGTAATTTTCATGTACTAATTAATTTATTCCTATGTAAATAGAGTAAATATCTTGTTCATATGAAAATTAAATGACATATCCCCTGCTAAAACCTTACTGTCATCGGGCATATCAGCATAATGCTTGGCATATCCTTATTTTTGTATTTACTAAAAAGCTTGCCAGTAAAACACCATAGTCCTCTATGCTGCAGGGTTGACAATGCACATGTAAAATAGCGTAGTTATAATTGAAGTAATACCAGTAATGGACTACACCTTGTATTCTGTTTTCTATAAGTCACTTTTGCAGACACAGCACTTGGATTAGAGAGAATTAGGAGAAAATTCCACAGTTTGTAGAATTTAAAAAAGAAAAAATTACTGACGAGCCAGCCAGGAGTCGAACCTAGAATCTTCTGATCCGTAGTCAGACGCGTTATCCATTGCGCCACTGGCCCGCGTTGCGTGGTGTGCAGTTTTACTGTATCTGTAGGAAACTGTATGCCATGTCTCTCTGTATCCGGACACTTCATTACTGTCCGTTCGTTTATATTACACTTGCATATTATTATTGTATATATTAGATTTAATAGTATAGGCGTAGGGATATTTGGCACATGACACAGGTAGGACGGATTATGCTTATAGAAGGGAAACTTGTAACAGGGAAGAGCCCCCCCCTAGACATGGCGGAAGTGACGTCCGGCGCGGGAGATTCGCCTCCCGGAGTTCAGGGTTCCAGGTGCGGCTGTGTGCTGGGCTGTCATTGCAGAAGATGGAGCAGAAACTCCTCTCCCTGGCTGCTGACAAGAAACCCGAGGCCCTGCACAAGTATCTGCAGACTGTCAGAGACACAGAGGTAAGCTGAGCTCTAGAACATCCATAGACCCCCATAGAGAGTACAGCTCCGCCATAATGCTGCACAGGGACACTGTGCTTATTGCAATCCCTTAACGCTGAATAAGGAAAATGTGATTTTATTTCACATTAGGCTTCGGGCTGAATGAAGGAAATGGAACAAATTCCTCAATCCATAATTAGGAGGTTGATGGAGGAATCCCCCGCTGTTTGCAGTGTGCTCTGACAGCAACTGGTGGTCACGCTTACAATACCCGAATGGAGCTAGCAGCTGATCGGCTGCTAGCTTTGTTCAGGCAAGAATTTTCACACTGGCTCCTCCAAACATCTGATGAAGGGATGCCAGTGGAAGGGTGACGACAGCGGCGCCCACAGTGCGATTCTCGGCCGCTTTATCAGGAACTGGCCGAAATATGTTCCGTGTATACCCGGCTTTAGATTGGGCTTCCGATCAGATCCACCTGCAAAACTGACCTGATTGGAATGTCTGTCTGAAAGGGCTGTAAGGCGTTTCCTTGCGTGTTCTTTTCTACGCTGAAACGCATGCAAATCAAAATCATATGTATTCCTAGGGGGAGCTGTTAACGCAAAAGCGCCGCATCGCGCGTAACAATAAGCCCGTTGTTTAACCACTTGCTGACCGCGGTGTTACACCCCCTTCCTGTCCCGGCCATTTTCAGTATTCAGCGCTGCGGTACTTTGACTGACGTTTATTCCGTCATGCAACGCTGCACTGAAATGAATTTTATACCATTTTTTGGGGACAGATAGAGCTTTCCTTTGGTGGTATTTATTCACCACTGTGGGGGGGGTCCTCGGCGGTAATTTTTTTACTATATAACAAAAAAAGTACCCTAAATTTTGTAAAAAAAAATGAACTTCCCCTTTCGTCCTCCAGAACAGCTTGTGAGAGGCTCCACCCCTTTTAACAGGAAACACGTCTCCCTCAGTTGTTTAAAAGGCCCGCCTCTCTCCTAGCTCCTCGGTTTTTCGTGTTTCCTCCGTCAGGGGGGAGCATGTCACCGGAACGTCGAGGGGGACCTCTTTTTGGGGGATGCCGCTCGGGTTTTTTGTAGCACGCTTACCTTAATGGGCCACTGGTGCGCTCCACTTGCCGCAGTTGATTCCGCACCAGGTCCTCCATCCTTTTCAGTGCCCGGGAAGTATCAAATTATAAAACATTTATTATTACCCAATTTTTTGGTAAAATATAAAAGACGGGGTCACGTCGGGCAAAAAGACACCAAACATGTCAAGCTTTATAATTGCGCGCACTCGCGAAACCTCAAAAAAAAAAAACTACGGTACCCAAAATTGGCCCTAGGCGACGCTTTAAAAGCTTTTACCGCTCATCAGTTTAGTGTTATCAGTGATTGATGATGTCGGAGGAAGTCAGCAAGGTGGAAGATGCTGCACTCCCTCCCATCTTACCTCCTGACACCCTCCCGAGCCGGTCCCGGGCCGCTAGCGGAGCCCAGGATTGAAGGTGAGGGTGTGGGGCGGGGGGAGACCACAGTACTGCGGGAAGGGGAGTGGCGCTCAGGGCAACGCATACAAGCGATGGGACAGCTTTAGAGCCACCGATTGCTTGTATGTGTAACAGCCGCTAACAGCTCTTTACATTCAACTGTTTATTTTTCTGCCCGTGTGCGCGCGCTAGGGGGTGCACGCAAGCAGGAAAAAGAAAACCTTTTAATTACAGCGACCCGCCAATGGGAGCTTGCCGTCCGTCCATTTTTTTTTACAACGGGCGGATGGCAAGTAGTTAAAATAGTCTTTGAGCTTCTTATATTAATTGGAGCGGAGGAACATAGGAGGGAAGTATTTATTTCCTATGCACCTAAGCGCCATCTAGTGGCCAGAATGCTGTATTTTCCTTGTATTACATTGGACCTGGACAGAAAATAAACTTTCGCCCACATTCGCACGGAATGAATGTACATGCAGTTTCGCAGGGCGAATGGCCCTGCGCTGTTTCTGTTCTTTCTGTAGGTCACATACTGATTGATGGTCAGGTCATGTTCTGATGGCAGTGAGCGCATACATCTGTCTGGTGACGCGTTCAGTGTACAATTTTCCCTCATTTGGTCCCCTAAATCCAACATGTAACATGGAGAGCCGATCTTCTATCATCTACAATCTCAGGGTTTCCTCCCAGTCCACGAATTGTTGCTTGACAAATAGTTTGTTTTGTTCTCCCTGATGGAGAGTCATGAGAATAATTCCATTTGATTTCTGTCTCCTGTTATAGCTCGTGTCCCTGCTAACAAAACTTGCAATTAAGGGGAAGGATTCTGGAGCTTTGCTGCGCACTATTTTCAAAGGTGAGTACATCTGTATAAGAGCCAAATGGGGGAGGTCCATGCAGCAGAATGGGGGAGGTCCATGCAGCAGAATGGGGGAGGTCCATGCAGCAGAATGGCGGCGGTCCATGCAGCAGAATGGCGGCGGTCCATGCAGCAGAATGGCGGCGGTCCATGCAGCAGAATGCGGGAGGTCCATGCAGCAGAATGCGGGAGGTCCATGCAGCAGAATGCGGGAATTCCATGCAGAATACTGGGAATATCTTCAGGGCTAGTTCACACCAGCCACAGTGTGTTCCGGCCCAATTGGTGCCGGAACGCACTGGATCACATTGCTACTGGCTCACTTTGTTTTGAGGGCGTGGCGGTGCATTGAAGTCGATGGCACTGCCGCCACACCCTCTGTCCGCAATGCAATTGCCTACGCCTGGACATGTGGCACATCAGCGCCTGCATTCCGGTCCACGCAGAAAAAAATGACTCCAGCACTATTTTTTTTTTCTGACTGCACCGGACCGGAATGCAGTCACGGATGTGCCACACGTTCGGGTGTGGGCGATCGCATTGCGGCAGGAGGGCGTGGCTGTGGTGCCATTGGCTTCAATGCAATGCCACGACCTCTCCCGCCTTAATACAAGGTGAGGCAGCCACAATGCGGTCCAGTGTGTACCGGCACCAATCGGGCCGGAACGCACCGTGGCTGGTGTGACCTGGCCCTCATTCATTAATGTACATGATGTGTTTTTAGAGCCTCATTTTATAACATACAAGTTAGGTGGCAGTATCTAGAGCAAGGGTGGGCAAACTCCGGCCCTCCAGATGTTATGGAACTACAAATCCCGTGAGGCATGGCTCCCAGAGACAGATGCATGATGGGTTTTATAGTTTCACCACAGCTGGGGGGCTGGAGTTTGCCCACCTCTGATCTAGAGTAATAGTATCATGAGTCCTATTTTAAAATGGAGTGATTTCAGTATGCTTGGCAGATTGGGCTTTCACCAAATACATCTGCCACTCCCACTTATGAGTGACCAGATGATTGAATTGGTATAAAAAACACAAATATGACATTTACTGGTACTGGAGTGGTCTAGAGTGATTTCTCCCACAGCTGTGATCAGTCGGGCACAAATAACCATGGGTGGTAGATTATTGGGGGTGAAAGCTGATGGAAAGAATTGCCTAGTGTATGGGCAGAGTTACTGCTGTCATTTACATGGTTCAGAAGGCAGTGGGGATTTCAGCCATAACACCCGACTTTCTTCCTGTCCATCAGGGGGGGGTTCCTACTTACCTATGCATGTTCCAGCATCTCCTGTTGCATTGTCAGTAATGTACATAAAGCTAGGCACACCCATACATTGGGGCCACAGAACGTGTGCAGATACAGTAACACAACGCACATATATTTCACCATTGGAGCTTCCAAAAGTGATCAGAAATTTAGGTAAATGAACATGACATTAATTGTGACCTTGTAAAGGCTCATTCAGTCCTAAGCTAAATGTCAAAGTAGAACTGACGCCAAAAGCTTTTCTTTAGTTGGTTTTGGATAGAGTAAGGACGGGTATGCAGGGTATAAGATTTCCCTTCACATCCTGTCTGATGGTCACAACAGGAAGTGAAAGAGAAGCCCTCCAAACAGATGGAATCCCCTGATGGTCTGCAGGGTCACCAGAACTAGTGTCCTCATTGGAAATGTCCTCATCTATTCCTGTTTTGATGACAGGTCAGAATTTTGGATTTTCTTTTACTCTCACCAGGACCAGTAGAGATGGTGAATCTCTCTAACAGGGACACAGACAGCAGTAAAAACCTGACAGGTCTTCTAATCCCATTCCACGCTATCCCAAAGTCAAATAAAAGCTTTCGCTTCGGCGTCACTTTAACTTCTGCATTTTTGTGTATTAAAAAACGCTAAGGCAGCCCATTTATTTTTCATCACTTGAACGCAATGCTGGTGGTATTCTGCATAGCTGACTTTTATTATAATGTATTGATGGGACTTGTAGTCCCGCATAGCTGCTGGTATTCTGCATTGCTGTATGATGATTATACAGTAATGCAGAATAGCTCCAACTATGTAGGACTACAAGTCCCAGCAATGCATTATATTTTTAAGTAGGGCTACAGAGAGTGTTAATACTGGGCATTTTCACGGGATTTATTCACAAAGTATTTAGTTTAAATTGTTAATTGTGACCATTAATAATATTCCATCCATTATTCACTGCCATCCATAATTTCCTGCCATGGACAGTATATTATTAACAGTCACAATTAACCATTACCAATGAATACTTTGTAAATAAATGCCGGTTTCCTCGTTAATCTCTATGTAAGCGCAGATACGGGTCGGCGTTCTCGAAAGAACACCGGCACTAAGATTTTAAACAAGCGGCTGCCTGAGGTCCCGCGCTTGTTGGGGACCTCGGCAGTCTTCCTGTTAACTATGTGGTGCCATGGCTGGGGGGGCCCTTAATGGTTTCTTGCACCGAAGGTTCTAGTTACGCCTCTGATTGCACCGTTCTATATTTGACAAAGCAGCACACTACAATAGGGCTGCAACAACTAATCAACATAATCGATTATTGAAAAAGTTGTCAACTTTTACATTTATTTTATTTTTAATCCGATTAACCGATTAATCGAACTCAATAATCGGCTAATCGATTTTTGAAAATAATCGTTAGCTGCAGCTCTACACTACAACGTACAGAGCGTTTATTTCTGTGCTGACGATGGTGCTGGGTTTTACTATATGTGTATATTGAGCTGCCACTCAGAATGAATGGTAATGCACCTGACATGCACTTATCTCCTTGTTACCTCAACACAACAGTGTTGATCCACCCTAACATTCACAATGCAGACAAAAGTTCTGTTGGAGATTCTGCAGTATAAAGGAGGAGGAGGAGGAAGACTCTTTAGAATCAGATCCCCTTATTCAGCATTGGAGGTAAGGGGAAAGTTTACCATGACTTCATTCTGTCTGCAGTTCCAGCAGTAATTGTTTTATCATGTCAGGGTCTCCATGTACGGAGGATGTTGCTGTTCGCCGGAGGTTAGCAGTGTACAAGCACTGCATAGAGCTGGTTGAGTCTGGAGATCTGCAGAGAGAAGTGGCTTCAGAAATCGTTGGGCTCTTGATGCTGGAGGTGAAAAAATCATATTCTCATTTCTACCAATATACAGATTTGTTCGAATGTTACAGAATTGTCTTACTATAGTAACTGAAAAAGTATTCCGGATTCTGCTATGTTGTGTCCTCTTCTTTGACCTTTCTCAATTTTTTTGGATGCAGTTATTCATTGTTCGTTACTATTTCTGCCTATTTCTCTATTTCATCATCATCATCATCATCTACTTTGTGGCAGTTCCAATAGAGGGCATTTTGGTTCCTTTTCGTCTCCCCCCCCCACTACTTCCTTCTGGTTATTTTGTTAAACAACTCTGCTAGTCCCATACCACACAATCTGCTGTTTCTATATCTTAAGCTGGCCATACACCTTACAATTATCTGCAGACGTTCTATGGTCAGATGGAAAACGTGCAACACATTCCTCCATCTACGCTAAACTGTGTGGATGGAGGAATCTTTCCCTGGGCCATCTTCAGTATCTTGCTAGTCGGCCCTGCTGCCTGTCAAAATACCTGAACAATCTGATTGGATGCAGGCATCGTTCAGATATTTTGACAGCCAGCTGGGCTGACTAGCAAGATACTGAAGCTTGGCCCAGTGGGAGATTCCTCCATCCATACAGTTTAGCGTAGACGGAGGAATCTGTTGCACTTTTTCCATCTGACCATAGAAAGTCTGCAGCTAATCTAGAGGTGTGTGGGCAACTTTAAACTGACTGGAGCAAACTTTACAACAGCTGCATTCAAGTTGGACACATAGCTTTGTAATCTTCGGCTTTATTATCTGGCAATACCTCATTGTTAGAGGAAATATTAGACTTTTATATTTGATACCAACATCTGTTCATCTGTCCATGCTCATTGCATTGTTTATATTGCAGATATCCATATGATTTGGATGAAGCAGAGCTAGACTTACACCTAACTATGAAATAACCTCACTTTATTTTTGTGTAGCTCTCGGATCTGACACAGTTTAGTTAGAAAAAGATTTGCAGTTTTCACATTACAGGACTACAGAAGTAAAGCCCTCTTCTTCAAAACAGAATGGCAGGAAGCATAATCATTGCAAGTATTTTGTTCACACTATGTCCGGAGCAGATCTGCAAACGCAGTGCGTGTTTGATGCGTTCCAGTTGTGTTTTATTTCGCTTAAAATAGGCTTTCAGGTGCAGTCCAGTGCGTTTGCATGCATTTTGATGCATTTACATGTGTTTTTGGTGCGTTCCAGACCAGAAAAAAAATAGTGATTTCAGTATTATTATTTTTTTTTCCCTGCACCGGACTGCTCTGGTGATAACAGAGCCCAGAAATACCATAGGAATACATTGAGATGCATTTCAGGTGTGGCCAAAAATGTTCTTGTCTGTATCTGGTCCGGACATGGTGTGAACAAGGAGTCGTCAAATGTACTTGCAATGAAAATGGAATGCTCTCCCTTATTCAGTATAAATAGTTACCACACTAAAAAGATACACACCATTTTGTTTATATCCCTTGTTTGTTTCCTCTTTCAGGTTCATCACTTCCCCGGGGCATCCCTTCTTGATTTGGCTAACTTGTATGTTGAAGCAGTGAAAGCTGGAAGCATGTCCAATGGGAAGTCTTTGGAACTGTTCCCTAATGTGCTTAAAGCTCTCTCGTCAAAGGAAACTTTAGTCTATGGCAATGGTAACATATAAAACGTTTCTATCCAACTGTTTGATTGTACCGAGACTTTTGCTTGCCATACATATTACATTTCATTTAGATTTACCAAACCAATGCAATGTGAGGGCCTGCCTTAACAATTCGTTCTATTACACATTCTATTACTACGGTTGCTGATAGATCTCAGGGAGATTGCGTAGTCAGATTTCAATGGTATTTTTACAAAATTGTGGCTACTCATACAGGGTCCAGTGTTAGGGCTAGTGAAAATGATTGTTCCAGATAAGTTACTGGATCAAAGACCAGCACATATCTGCTATGAAGGTAGCCTTAGTTGGCCGTTGGGTTGCCTTTCTGATAGACGGGAGAGGCAGCCCAATGGGCCAACACATGGCAGGCTGACCACCCTGCTACTAATTGCGAGTCAGTGGCTTATCATTGACAGCATGCACCAGTAGGTGCTCCGGGTAATAAACTTTGCCATAGATTCATTTAAAACTATTTCCTTAAGAAAACTATAGATGGTGACACATGATGCCAAACATATTCAAAATAGAATTTGGGTTACATACACTTAAGGCCACTAAACTACATTTTAATATTTTTCTATGTTTTATATCCTGATACTGCCTGATACTTATAAGCTGGGAGTTCATCTTTAATACTCTGAAAAGAGTATACACACTGTTAACAGATCGATTCCGATCATGAAACTGTAATCACTTACTGTATTTTTTTTTCTCTTCGTCCTTACTGAAAAGTAAGTGAAGGAAAAATAAACATATTACAGTCCATGTACCCATTGCACTCCTGACCGCACGTCCAACAAAGTATCCTGGGTGCTCAGTAGTCGACGGATGGCCACCGTCAAAGTAATGCAGAAAAGAAATAGACACCGGCACTCCAATAGTAAATCGATTACGTCTATTTATTGACGTACATCAAAAGCAAAATAACACACTTAGCACTAAGTGTGTTATTTTGCTTTTGATGTACGTCAATAAATAGACTAAATCGATTTACTATTGGAGTGCCGGTGTCTATTTCTTTTCAGAAAAATAAACATTACACTGTCTGTTCTTGTTTAGTAGAAGGATATTACTTAATACAGGAGAATTGTATATGTACAAAGGGTGTTCTGCATTGTGGGGAATAACTCATTCAGTTTAAGTACATCTCCGGGGTTGTGCAGAATACTCAACAAATTCCTGATTTTTTTTTTCCATCCTGACTAATTTATATGACACTTTTTTTTTTATAAGGAGAACTAACAGGAGAGGAATGCAAGAAGCAGATTATCAATAGTCTGTGTTCTACCAGGTAAGGGTAGCTTTTGTTCATGTTTGCATGTTACTAATGTTTGTTAGATGAGGCGCCCATTTGTGTTGAATTGTACCTCCACCCCGCCGTGTCCTCTATTTTTCCATAATTATATCACTGCCCATGGTAAATTCTGTTGCTACATTTTTCAAAGATTATACATTTTTGACCTAAATGTATTTAGTGGACTTACTGTAAATCTGGAGCACATGGAGCAGTTCATTTTCAAAGGGTCTCATTTATGATGTGTTGGCAATAATATCTGACTGCCTGTAATAGCCAATCAGATGCCAACCCATACTGGAGACAACATGGCTGTGGAGAAATCGAGTCAGTTCTTAATGTATACACTTTTTTTTATTAAAGAGCTCCATGATTTTTTTTTATTTAACTCTTGCAGTGATGCTACCTTTTGAGGCTTCAAGAGTAAAGTGCTTGTTTGTGTCTAGGTGCTAAAATAAAAGTATACCCACCCGAAGCTCCGAGCAAGCCAGCCAGCTTTCAGCAATCCCTCCAGCCTGTCTTCCCCCTCCCTGCAGTATTGGAATAATTTTCAGCGTCCTCCAGTCTATACACTGTGTATAGACATTGATGATTTACGGGACCTTAGACTGCTGCAGAGGAAGGGGAGAGACGTTGGAAGGACCTGTCTAAGAAGAATCGCGCTGGGAGCTTTGGCTGAGTTTAACCTAGACACAAATAAGCGCTTAACTCGTGCAGTGCGGAGGTAACTCCACTACAAGGGTTAATTAAAAAAATCCTGCTTCTTTAATTTAGTCCCAATATATATTCAGAATTATGGAGATGCATTTATATTAATAGCAGAAAGTTTCCCAGCACACTCACCAGCCAGCATGCAAAAAAACTTGTCTCACCGCTAAGGTTAAAAACAGAGGTTTAGATACACGTCTTCTGTTTTGTTTTGCATTTATATTGATAACGCATGTCTCTTGTTTACTTTTTCAGATGGGACCCAAAATGTGTCATTTTCCTTACTTCAATGTTTAGGTAAGATTACTTAGGCCTTGTTCACACCAAATGCAGAGCAGATCCGGTCAGGTTTCTGCACACGCACACTAGTCTTTTAGACGTGTTTTTGGCTAAAAAATAATAATTTTTTTTTTTAGTTTAACATGGGCTTTCAGTGCGTTCCAGGCATTTGCATGCATTTTTGATGCGTTTGCAGATCCAGAGCAGGTAAAATAGGGCCTGCTGCAGTTTTTTTACCTGCTCTGGATCTGCATGCTGCGATATGAACTGGAGCTAAAAATACCATAGGAATACATTGGACGCAGTTTTGATCCGGTCTGCACCTGCTCTGCTCTGGACCTGCTCCACGCTTGGTGTGAACTAGCCCTTAAGCAGTCAGTGTTCAGATCCTTTCAGTTGCCTGGTATGTGTTAACCTTTTGAAATGATGTGCATGTTGGAAAGAGATCTTTGTAAATTAAATTTACAAAGGGGATATGTGGTTATTAATCTTTGTAAATTATCATAACGACACATGCCGCCCTTCTCATTATCTGTGGATTTTTGAGACCCAGAAATGTCAAACGTTTTTACACACACTTCTATATCCTATCCTGTTATATCATTCCGAAGTCCTACTTGCTCTTTGCTGCTATGCATATTGACCTCTTCCTGGTCCCCCCTCTCCAGAACACAGGTTTTTTTGTTTTTTCCCCCCTCTGTATCCCTTCCCAGTACACCACCTCCAGGTTTCTTACCAGAAACTCCTTTGTCTGCAGTCACACTTTCACCACACAAATTGCATATTGGACACTACCAATGGCCTTACTCCATGACACAGTCCCTGCTAATAACCTGCACACACTTTTAGTTTTCATTGCTTATATTTAACGTGTTCTCTTTTAGAGATGTATTGCTGAGTACAGAAGAGTTGCAGTTTGTTGCGGAGAAAGTATTAAGACTGTTATCCAAGTTGGACCTCCAAGAAATGCCCCCTTTGGTTTACCAGCTTCTGCTTCTTTCTGCCAAGGTAATCCCATACTGTAGCTTTCAGTATATAAAAAAAGGTATCATGGGGATAGTTATTATAGCCGGCTTTACCAGAATGTGACCGCTGTATGATTATGTGATCTTCCCTTTTTATATTCATTTTTTTTAAACACTTTTATTGTTGCATAATTTTTTGTTTTGCTGTTGTGTTAATGCAGGGGAGTAAAAGGACAATACTGGAAGGAATTATAACAGTTTTTAATTATTTGGATCAGAAGGTGATGCAAGAAGCCAGAAATGATGAGTGAGTACATGATACTTTCATTTTATTAATACATTGACCTTGGTGTTCCATTTTTATAATGCACCATTTATGTCATAAGCATGATAATTTATACATCAAAAACGCAATGTATTTTTCCTCAGGCATGAATGTTCTGTCTGCAGCACAGTTTATATATTCAGTAAACTTTGGTTGAAGCCTTGCTCCAAGTCTTAGTCTGTCTCTGTATTGTATAATGAGTGTCCACAATCCAGTTCTGTGTGCTATGCCTCTTGTGTGCAGTCTAATTGTCTGTTCTTTGGTAAATATGGACAAGTTTCCTGTTTAAAAAAAAAAATGCACAAGTGAAGACAGTATTACATAGTACATGTACACGTATGCAACAGGCATTTACAAACTAGTTTTTGCCTCTAAAACTGTCCAACATATTGAAAGAAAAAAGTGCAAATTAGGGAGAGTGCCGCAAATGTTTGGATGGTCCAGTAAAAAAGACAGCCAATGCGTTTTCAGCACTTCAGAGCTCTCCCTGTACAGCTCAGCTCTGTTGAAGGGGGATTTGTTGACACCACCCCCCCAAAGCACATTGGCTGCCTTTTACTGGACCATCCATATGTTTGTGGCGCTCTCACTCTTTTTTGCACTTTTTTCTTTGGATTATCTCTGCCATCCAGTGGATACTCCCAATGATAGAGAGCAGCCTCAAAAGACACAGGTCCTTTATTAGGTCATATTGTGCAGTCATGTGCTCCACTGATACCTACCTTGTCCTAAATATTGGTACGTTTCTCTTTCCCAATTGGTCCACTAATGACCTACAGGCAATCTTAAACCTGACCTGTATCCTTCTAGTAGTGGATGGGCTTAGTCTTCCAAATATTCTGCTGCTTCTTCTGATAAGAGGGGTGAATGGGAAGAGAAGGGTTATCCGGCTGTTCTGGTTATATACTTAAAGTGAGTGGGACTGTATAAAGGAGACCCGGTGACATGAGATAACTGCAGCCAATTGGAGCACTGCTCACAAGAAATCGTTTCAGCAATCAGATTAGCCTCCATTAGGATTGCTGTGGTAATTACTGATTTTAATACATTAATATCAAATGACTGTAAGAATAAAGAAGTCTTAAATGTGATCTGTTCAGGTAATCTGAGAAAGAATTTCAGATAAACGGCACCACAGTGTTTTGGTCGTCAAGGTAATATAGGATGCAGTTCATGTAGGTCCTTAAAGTGATATTAAAGTCATAAGGGTTTTAAGCTTTTCTAAATGCTGATGAAATTGCTCGCAATGGATGCTGCTTCTTGATGTTGAAAATGTTTAGTTTCCTGCAGAATCAGCTGGTTCCCTGAGCACTGGCCCCGATATCCTGCTTTAGGGTGGCTCCTTTTCTCAAGCAGAGTTCTATGGAGCCACCCTTGTGTGCGCTAGTAAGCTATGCATATGTCTCCACAAACACACAGACATAGCAAATCAAGCTATTTCCCTCCCCTTGGCCCCCTCTCCTCCCTTCTACAAGCTAGTAGATGAACAGTTGCTGGAGATTGTGCTCTCTCTTGTCGTCTTGTACTGGACAGGAAGTTCAGGGAAGCTGAGAGACTTGTAACCCGATGTTCAGAAACATGAAAACTGTAAGTGCTCTGTAATAAAAATAAATGCTTTGCTGGGCAATATATATTTGTTTGCTCTGGGTTCATTATTGAATAAAAGTTTGAGAGTTTAATACAACTTTAAGGCCACTTTCCGGTAAGTAACCATCATAAGGTGACTGCATTTACAGCGTGCCATAGCTGTTACTGCCTGATGCTTATCATTTCTGCATGTGTTAGACCCACAGTTCTAACAGCTTAGGCTGAATTAAGTACATTTTCTTTCACACCAATTGAAGAAATGTAACACAGTATATTCTCCTTCCATTACATGCAGTTCTGAATGAAAATTGTTTTTGCAATTTCTTTTTAGCTCATTAGAGCTGGAAGACTCCACTATCCCAAAGGAACAGCTTCGTCAAGTAGAGGGCACCATCATCTTGCACATTGTCTTTGCTATTAAATTTGACCAGGACCTGGGGAGAGAGCTAGTTAAGGTATTGTTACTTTTTCAGAAAAGGGTAAAGCTTAAAGAGGAACAATCATCTGGCTGTCCTTTTGTAAGACCATATACACAGTAGATGGAAACATGATCAGTTATCTATATGGATCCACTAAGGCTCTGCTTCATGTTTAGAAGCTCCCATTAAAGGTGCTGCCATTCATATCTATGTTTTAAAATGGAAGTAAAGTTTTCTGCCTCACAGGATCTTTTACCATAATGTGTAAGCATGCAAAGCATATTAGCACCTAAAAGGAGAACTATGAGGTGAGTGCTTTTCACTCACCTCATAGTTCTAGCCGACCTGTGACAATGAGACTGTCACAGGTCGGCTCAGTAGATCGGGAGGTGAGCGAACATATACCGGCGTTCGCTCACCTCTCGATCCTGTCACGGCTCTCTGCCGTGACACTGGAGGGGCTAGATATCCCCCTGCCCGCTCCGATCCGCCATCGCTGACTGGCGGAACGGATGGGGGAGTGGGCGGGTACAGCTGGCTCTGCCTCTAGATAGGCAGAGCCAGCTGTCACTCACACAGCTGGGCGGATCTCGACATCGATGTCAGGATCCGCTCCGGCTGCGGCGTCTCAGCTCGCGGTAGCTCGCGGTACACTGAGCTTAGGGTAACGGGAGGACGTTAGTTTGTGTCCTCCCGTTACCCTAAGGAGAAATATGGGGAAAAGCCCTGACCCCATAGTTCTCCTTTTAATGGCACACTTGCCTCCGTCCAGATACAACCATAGTCTCCCCGGTTGTTCCATCGATGGCACTTCCATTTTGTTCTTTCTTTTTGGGTTCAGGAGTCTTCGGCCACCTTGATGGTGAAGTCTGAGATGTCATGATTCCCACACAGTGGAAAGCAGAAATCACCAGATTAAATGGACATCAAAGATATTTACTGAGTGCTGGTGATTTCTGCTTTCCACAGTTTGTTGCACGTTGCCATCCGTGATTGTCACTGCGAGCACCACTACAAGTACTTGGGCCAGGAGTGCTGTGAGCAGTGCAGAGGGACTTACTATTTTCTACGATGATTCCCACACATGCGCACATGAGTTAATTTATCTCGTCACTTCCTCCCAGCATTTTACATATGCCGGATTAAACAATGAGCTGCGCATGCACGGGTGTCAATGTACGATTAGAGACATTGATGTGAAGTATGTTCATATAAAGAGTGGAGACATCTGATCTATACATTACATAGCCTATAGAATAAGGATGCCAGCCCTGGAGCTTTCTATTTCAAGTATAGCCAGCAATGGCAGCTTCCATATTTATATCCTGACAGTGCATTCAGAATGCCCACAGACTGTGAGATTTATAGTACAGCATAAACTGTTGGTGAAAAGGCTTTCTGTTTTCAGAATGTATTTTGGACTGTAATTTGCATTAAATGAATGTAATGCCTTTTTATATAAATGCATGATACAGCCGTTGTCTCACCCGTCTCTTGCTTTATTTTATAACAGACTGCACAGCAGGGGGACACCAACAAATTTTTATGCCCCTTTAGTGTCGCTCTCCTCTTGTCGGTGTCAAGAATACATAGGTTTGAAAAGCAGGTAGGAATTGTTATTTTAGCCCACATTTCCCAAATTACGTGTTGTGTAGGCTACCACTTTTTACACGGAGGAATTTCCAGCTTTTATGACTGAACTACAGCTCAGTGCTGAACACAGTGTGTGTGTGTCATTTCTGAGCGTGATGAAGGGACCCTGCGTGGCCCTGAAGACACTTGTCTGAGTGATAACATTTGTAAATAAAAGGACGTTTTTCGATTTCAACGTTAATTTGGTGTGCTGGCGACATCTCTATCAAGCTATGTACAGTATGTATGTATGTATGTATGGGTTTTTATTGACAAAGAACTTGTATTTCTGTGCAGTATTTACTTCCAGGCTGCAGACTACATTGCAGTTTGGCAATATAGCCTACTGAAGGTCATTGCTTTACCTCTGAATGGGCAATGAAATCACATTGATAAGGTCATCACTATGCTCTGTTCTCCTCTCTACAAGCTCCCTGTTTTAGACTATGTAGTACAATACAGTGTGAATGGCTGCCCCTCTTTCTTTCAGTTAGTTAGTTTTTTTGTTTTAAGAATACAGAACTTGATTAAAACATGAACTCTAGGCTAATAGCTAAATACATACAGGGTTGTTTCACAAAAGGGTGAAGAGTTTGGAGAAGGCAGAAGTGAACAATCTAGGGCAACATAGCTGAACTGGAAAGTGAGCTGAATTGGAGAATGTTTCCAAATCTGCTATTTTTCACTTCTGCCTTCGCCAAACTTCACCCTTTTGTGAATAACCCTCATAGATTAAATACATGCATGGGAGCTGTATTAGCTGTGATGGGATTTGTATTTCTGTCCATCCAGTTCTGAGAGTTGCACAGCCCTGTCTGGTGTGAAAAAGGACCTGATTTTTCTGTACATGCTGCAGTTTCACTTTCATTTATAGGTCTCCTCTGGACAGTGAAAGAAGAAGCACCATTTATTTTAAAAAAAAAAAAACAATTTGCATAGATTCGTCCACTGAAACTGCACGTACAATTGTTCTGTTGTGTGAATGGGACAAAAACAAATGTTTTTAGTCTAATTTGTTCTCTTGCCAAATGTTATTGAATAGGGAAAATACGGCATTATGGGTACTAGATGACGCTGAGGGTCGGAGGAAATAAATACATGTCAGTATGGAGAGGCAATAATACAAGTCAAGAAACTGCTGGAGGGAATGAGCATAAGTGTAACCATTGATACTAGGGGGTAGTAATGGTCACATTTATATGCGTATTCTCTCCAGTGGTCTCTTGAATTGTAACATTTTGTCTCCTTACTAACATGTATTTATTTTCTATGAACCTCAGATCCATCTAATGGCCATAGTAAAGTTCTGTATGAATGAGCCTTCTGAAGAACATTTGACCTGCAGGGACCGCAAGAACATTCATTTTTGTCGCATTCTCACAACTCACACAAAACGAATGTACATGTAGTTTCCCTGGACTAAAGCTATTCAATGTTCTTTTATAAATCGATCCCTGTGTACGATAGGAAATGCATATTTAGCTTCCTCTAACTTTGTATCAGCAAGTACTTGTAAGTTTTATTTGTTTTATTTTACAGGTTTTTGATTTCCTGAAAACTATTATTTTAAAAGGATTTAAGGACCTCCAGTTTCAGCAAGGTTCCAAGTTTCTCCAAGATTTAGTACCACAACCAACATGTGTCTCCTCTATGCTGCTGGAAATTGTGAAAAACAGGTAGGTTGGTACTTTTCTCTCTCCATGTGATCACAGATCTGTTTGTGTTACCTCCATTATATTACCTTTTTACCTCCTCAGTGTTTTTGGTTGGGACCATGTCACCCAGGGATTGGTGGAGCTTGGGTTTCTCTTAATGGATTCTTGTGGCCCTAAAGCCATTCCAGGAGCAAAAATCTTGGAGACATCTGCTGGATCACCAAGTCAACAGGCCAGTCAGCTGGGATCAAAGATTTTACTAGAGGCCTTTAAGGTAAAATTGTCTTCGCACACGATTGTTCACACTTAAGTATGAAGCGCACGCATTTCTTTAGCCACCTACTTTACAACTTTTATATTCAACATTTTCCTGTTAGGTTCATGAAGCAATAAGGAATGTGATTTTGGAGCAAGTTTTGAATCGAGTTATTACAAAAGCCACATCTCCGACAAGCCATTTCATAGGTAATAAAACACACTGATCATATTTGATTTTCTTAATTGTACTTTAAGGATAAAAGCTCTTGTTTCCAATCATTGTAAACAGATTTATAATATAAGCGTAGTTCTGTTGTTCACCTTGACAGTATATTATTCTCGATTATATGAGTTTACGTTTGCCGTGGGGGTAGTGTGGGGCAAGTTTATTAAGTGAACCTCTTTGACATAAATAGGCCAATTACAAGCTCACTTTAAGTTTTGTTAAATGACACGGTAGTCAAATATCAAATGGTGCAAGTGGTTAGTATATTGTAGAAGGGTTAAATACTTCAGTATGTAGCTGTGTACTTATGCTTATCATGTGTAAGTGCAAAGCCTTTATGAGCAAGTCGTGGGAAGTTCTGATATTTATTTACTTTTGTATATACATTTTTTAAAATTTACCTTTCACAAAGTGTGTGTGTGTGTGTGTGTGTGTGTATCAGTCCTTGCTATTGTTAATGATGTGCTTGCCTCTTAATTGCCATGCTAATAGTCTGATAGGGAATTTTGTAAATGTGCGTTGCAATCTATTACTATAACATGCAGGGCATATTAAAATATGTTGAAATTGATTTGCAGATCTTCTGTCTGATATTGTATCCGCTACGCCGCTCATTCTCCAGAACTCGGCCTCCAAACTGACTGCCGCTTTTGACCATTTGTTCCAGCTGCCCTTCTCCACAGTGCTGGGCCTACTCAATGCCTTGCAGGTAGGTAGACTCTAATATGTACCACAAGCAGAGTGCACTGGGCAGGGGTAGTACACAGCCAGAGGTTCTAGCCTCTCCCTGCTTTACTGCTTCCCGTGCAACAAATCCAAAAACCACTGCCCATGGCCACCTTTCCCTTTTCGCTAGTTGTTTGTAAGACAGGAAGGGAGGATAAATCTCATTAACAGAGCCCCTGTTGGCATTAAAAACCAGACTGGTTGTAACTCTGCCCTGCTCTATCCGGCCTACACCCCCCCCCCCCCTCCAAAAAAAAAAAAAAAATTAAAAAAAAAAAAAACTAACACCCCCCCCCCCTTCCAAAAAAAGAAAAAAGTTTTGGATGGACATATTATGGGCATTCACCATCTACTTGTATAGTCTGTGAGTACTAACCTCCGTTTATATTCTGCCGTTACAGCCTATCTTTAAGATAAATGTATCTGTGAGGGATTGTATCATCCTTGTTCTAAGGAAGGCAATGTTTTGTAGGTAAGCTTTTATTACTGATTTTTTTTTAAATGTGTGGTGTAGAAATCTGCTCATTGGTATTTAATTTAGTTCATAGATAAATGTCTCATTGTATAGGATTAATCTTTGTAAATAATGAGCTACTTTGTGACCATAGAGTGTAGTTCTCCATGCTGGAACCTTGATGTGGCTTTAAAGTCACAGCATATACTTTCCTGTTATAACATCAGCATTCTAATATGAATACATACTAGAGTTGATTTTAATAATACAATCAAAGCTTACTTGAAAAAATCCTGTTTTATATAGTGAGTGCTGACCATCACTTTCAGTATCAACTTCCTGGATTCCCAGTGTGCTTTGCATCTCTTTACCTTCTGATTGATGTGATGCAATTTTTTTTTTTTTTTAAACTATATATCTCATCATGCATTGCTTTCAGCAAGCAATGATAATAAATTGTTCAGAAGTTGTGCCACAAGGAACTGCATATTCATTAGTGTTGGGTGACATTGTCGGCGCATTGAGGAAGTACATCCTATGGACATCTTCAGTAAGCAAGCTCACAAATTTATAGATCGATAATGTTATTAGGAGAGGGATAGAACTTGTATAAATTCAATAGAGAAATATTTAATTTATTTTTGTGTATGTATGTGTGTGTGTGTATATATATTAGTGTATATATATATATACATACACACACACACACACACACACACACACACATATATATGTGACATTAATTTTCCAGCTAAGCACTTTACTGGCACTGTTTCCAGGCCTTGTGATCACCAAGATTAACCAATTATGGTAATCTCTTTTGAAACGGGCAATGTTTGGTACTTTAGCAAGCATTTCCTATTTTGGGGCACATTTGTGAAATAACCAGGAATAGGTTGCACCTAGAGAGCTCATGAACCAATCATGTGACTACTCCGATTAGCCAATCATGTTGATCACAGAGGTTTGGTACTTTTGCTACAATAACAGGTTTTCCCTCTGCCTGCAGCACTGCATATCCCTATCTTGAAGAAAGAGATATCCACTTGACAGGTGAAAGGTTTTTGGCATAAAAAAGGTGTTTTCCAACCCTGGTCCCCCATTAGGATGACTGTAGAGGGGCAGATGTTTTACTGCAAAAAATAGGCAGTGAGACATCTATTCATCCTCAAACAACTTGCATATCATTGGCACCAACCAGCTCAATCCTGTTCCCCCTTTCAGTAGATAGATAGATGCATTGTGAACTATATGTTAATGTTAGTACCTACTGTGACAGACCCCCGTACTCAGGATGAGTATGTCAGCCGCTGTCTTCTTCCTTGCTGAGGAGATATTGAAACCTGAAGATCTGTAGCTCCCAGTTTCCCCAGTCACTAGCCAAGGCTTGAGTGTAGGGTAAACAAACTCTGATTTATTGAGCAACTGCACAAACTTTTATACAGCAAGTGATGAAATCAGAATATAATCCCATCACATCCACCTCCCCTCCTCCCAGACCATCGGTCTGCTCAACACCACAGGTGTCCACCTGCTAACGAACTCCAGACAGCCATAGCATGAGCCTGGCCAGAATGTCATTGTTCTGAGCTCCCTCAGAGTACAATGGGAGATAACGAGGGATGGGGCTGATAGTCTTTCCATAACCAGGTCACACAGCATAACGCACTCAAACATAACTCAATACCAATACACATTTAACTTAACCAATACACATAAACTGATCACCATGTCGTCACACCTACAACAAAGAAAATACAGACAAGACACCAGCTGAAAAAGTTACAGTGGATACAGATCTACAAAAGAGTACCACTTTGTCCCTGTGCATACATGATTAGTCGGACATGAATGTACATATATTAGTTTACCTGAGTTACAGTCCTTACTATTTGTGACAGATTTCAACAATTGGAAGCAAATGAAAAGAATAAATTCTTGTGAAAATCTATGACTTTAACTTTTATCAGTTCCTCTGTAGGTTGCAGTATACTGTATTTTACATATCGACCAAGACTGGTGCATCCAAGCTAAGATTGGCAGTATAAATATGGGAATCCAGATTCTTTGCTTGTAAAAAATAACCGGTCTTGTAAATGTAACCTAACATGTTTGTGTATGCTTGTTAAGGTAAAAATCACTTTCCAAAATTCTTCAACTGATCTGTTTTGTGTTTTTTTTTTTTTGTTTTTTTTTCTTTATGACTAGTCAAATAGAGGCCCGGAAGTCTGCTGTTGCTGGTTTCTTGCTTTTACTGAAGAATTTTAAGATCCTTGGAAGCTTGTCCTCCTCACAATGCAGCCAGGCCATTGGTGCAAGCCAGGTATGAATTCATGCCTAATATAATGTTGCATGGCCTTCTAGCCTTTATAGCAAGTTTTACATATTCAAGTCTGTCATTTTGTAGGTGCTGGTGGATGTCCATACCCGCTACAATTCTGCTGCAAATGAGGCATTTTGCCTGGAGATTTTGGGCTGCCTAAGAAGAAGTTTGAGTCAGCAAGAAGATATTAGACGTCTGCTTTATGAGGTAATGTCCCTAATTATCAGTGATCACCTCTAACATTTTCATTACTGTGGTGTCTGATTCTGTTGCGTATATTAAGCTCAAAATAAATATTACAATCTGACCATACAATCTCTGTACAATCAACTTTAGATTTACAAATACTATATAATATGAGCATCCACCTGACCTACAGTATACAATCAACCTGTATGCATTCCGGCAGGCCCTCGCACTACATAGTTGTTGGTAAATGTAAAGGAGATTTTACATTCAGATTGTAACACATAGCTTTTCATACATTATGAGCCTTACTTTTTTATTTCATCTTTTATTTCTCTCTGTATCAGGGTTTTTATGATGTACTTAGACGCAACTCTCAACTGGCCAGCCCTATCATGCAGACATTGGTGTCCCAGGTATGATTGTCAGTAGTTGAGAAAAAAAAAATTTTGTTATTCCGATTAGCCGGTTAAAAGATGTTTCTTTCCTCTAAAAACCACATTTCTATTATAATATGTTTAATATATTTCTGTTGGTTTCTACTAGGCTACTTCTATAGTGTCATGCATTAAACATTGGCTTCCAACAGTCAATGCTTGGTCCTTAGTGATGCATTACTATGGTTTCCAAAAGTCTGCAACATGGATTTAAACTGTTTTTGAGAATATGTACTGGAACTCACTGTGTCCCCAGTCAAGGCTGCTTGTGTAGGGAATTCCTGAAAGCTTGTAAAGGTGCAATAGTGTTGACAGGCTTTGCGGGTTGCTATCTGAGTTTAACGTTACTGCTAAAAACAGGGCCACTCTGCTAATTGGTAAGACACATCTAGGTACCGGCACCATCTGCTAAGTTGTTGCTGTGACTCTTTCAATAAGCACTCTTACTACATCTTAACTCCACCCATAATGCTAAATTAGATTCCCTATGTTGCCATTTCAGCGTGTGATGTTCTGTAGGGGTTTCCATTTCTCCTTGCCTGAATTGTGTTTACTGATGTTTTGTACAGTTAAAGCGTTATTATGAACCAGAGCCTGATCTGTTGCCGCCATTGAAGCTTGAGAAGTGTATCACAGCCCAAAAAGAGCAGATTATACTGCAAGAACCTTTGGTAAGAAAGACAAAAGCTATGCATTTTTAATACAAGTGTAGAAAATTATTTCTTGCCTTTATTATACACTGAGTGGCCAGATTATTATGACCACCTGACGTTTGTAGGCAAATTAGCTATAATTTTGCGCTGAAGTTGCTAGAGGGCCAGACCATTTATAAATAGGGAAGCAGGTTGTTTACCACGACAGTAGAAGCGATTTTTGGGAAGATATGGGTAAACAACACGATTTAACAGCCTTTGAATGTTGGATGATTGTTGGCGCTCGGAGCCATGAGCGAGTATCCGCAAAACAGCAGAATTCGTTAAATGTTCAAGAGCAGTGTTTAAAGACTGGACTGTCAGCCGAAAATCTGGGTCTGAACGTGCGAATTGTGGCCGCCAGCGACTAGTCAATGTTAGGGCAGAACGGAGAGTGGCAAGACTAGTACAAGACAACAGAAGGGCAACAGTGCAGTTTCAGATTCCTCGCATCACCTTTCAACATCTCGTGGAGTCACGAGGCGGCCCAACGAAGTCATCTCGTGGCCCAACGAAGTACTGATGGGGTGGTCATAATAATCTGGCCAATCAGTGTAATGTGCAAGTTGATGAGAATTGGATAGCCAAAGATATCACTCTTCTAAACTCGTCTAAATCGTTTCCTAACACTTGACACTCCTGTTGTCTAGGCACACCTATTAAGCAGTATTCATAGTTGCCTGAGCTGGTACAAGCAGAAGAGCAGTTCACTGCAGGAGAGGGGCATGGAAGATGAAAATGACGATGATGACTATATGGCATGTCGGAAAGAAATTGATGAAATGTTGGAATCTATAACAAGAAGAATGACTAAATGTGATCTGGAAGAGTTTGAATTGGTAATGCTCTTTCACTAACTGAGAAGCCACAGTTTTGCTACAGCCAGAATTTAATGTGTTTTCTCCCACCATACCAGGACAAGTCAGCTGACTTCTCTCCAAATTCCAGTGTTGGGATGAAAAATTATACCTATGCTGTTTTGGTCATGGGAGTTTGTGAGGTGCTGATTGAGTACAACTTTACCATAGCAAACTTCAGGTAAGAAAAGCTGCCAATCTGTCATATTTCTGTTAAGGCAATAACCAGTCACTTTCTCTTTACTGATCGTTTTATTTTCTGCAAAAGATGCAGACATAGTCCCAACTCTCCTGCTAGCATGCTCTTTTATATCGGCAATAAGTCATTTTGAGATCTAGTGTTCATAGTACATTTAGGCCTCATTCACACTGCTTAGAGTCGGCATGTACAGATCAGTGCGGCATGCACGGCCGTATCGGGCCGTTCCCGGGAAGGACAGGTGCTGCGTGTGATTTGCTTACCCGAGCTGCACATCCGTGCAGGTGTCCGTACTCCTACGCAGACAGGATGAATTCTGTCTGCATCTGAGCACAGACAACCGCACGGATGTGCAGTTCGGGTGAGCGTACAGCGATGTACGGCCGCATCCTCCCATAGTGAAGAACAGGCTGCATACAATCACACGCGGCACCTGTCCTTCCTGGAAACGGCCCGATACATCCGTGCACGACGCACGGATCTGTACGGGGGTCGACTCTTAGCTGTGTGAATGAGGCCTAACTGTTCATTTTCTATTATGTGATATATACGGTACCTTTTTTATTTATCTTTCAGCCTTCAACTCCTTTTTAAAGTGTATTCTTTCGACACATTTTTATTGTTTTGTGTATAAATGCTGGGGGGGGGGAGATTAATCCTTTCTGTTTGTCTTTGTGGCCATTGTCACCGGGACAGATTAGGAAGGGAAAATCGTCAAATTTGAGTTTTCACCAGAAAAGGAATAAAGGGAACAGCTGTTGGTGACACTTGTAACACAGACAACTTAAGCTGGCCATTCACTAGTAGATTTCTGAACGAAAGACTTTCTTTACCTCCCGATAATGCCATAATTGATGAATGTCGAATGTGACTTAATTTTATTTTAATCGATTTTGGAATGAATGGAGTTTCCCAAACAAAAACCACATTCACTGTTAGAATTTTGTTGGAGAAACATTTTCCATCCTGCTCCCTTTGACTTTTTTCATCACTACGGTCAAAGGCGATCATCGATTTGACCCCGCCAACTAATAGAAAGTCGAAAGAAAGTTCAGTCGTAAGATAGTTCTTTTGAAAATCTAAGCAGTGTATGGCTAGCCTAACATAGAATTTCCCTTACCATGAAAATAATTCTTATCGCTTTTGAGACAGAAGTAGAGATGAATCTTTCCAATGGAACACAGATAAATAAAAACAAAAAAATGTAGGCATTACCTAACTGTATTTAAAATGTTGTTTACTGCTTAATGCCCAGAGCTGTCATGATGGTTTGAACTAGGGTTGTTCGGATACCAGTGCCTATACTTGGCATTTTCACGAAAACTACCAGAGTTGCAGTGGTTGCAGCTGGGACCGGGCTCTGGCACTCCACCACTGTAATCATTAGTCTGTATTGTTTTAGAAAACCTGTCACATGACACTAAACACAAATGTATCGGTACTTGTGTCTGTAAGTACTTGGACAAGTATTAGTACTTGTACTTGACAAAATTGTATCAGTGTATACCCTTATATATATTTATAAAAACAAATTTATACATTAAAACAGAGATGTACAAATCCCAGGAGTTTAGTGTGCTTCTTACAAATGACAGCTGCCTCCTAACTTTTGCATTTTTCTCTAGTGTAGTCTTGGAGCTGGAAAAGTATCTGTACATGTACTTGTACCGGGTACGGTACTTGGTATCTGAACATTCCTAGTTTGAATCTTGCTTTAGTTACAATGTTCGATATGTAACATCTAATGGCCTACTTTTGATATTTATTGTGTGTGTAAGGATATTATTATTATGTTGTAAACTTTCATATGTTAAAGACCGTTTTGGCAAGATTTACAGCACCTTCGCTTGGTTTTTATTGCGGTTTGATGCCCATATGTGTGCACCCTTTTTATTCCTAGTAAAAGCAAATTTGAAGACATTATGGGGATTTTTAAATGCTACAGCAAACTGGCTGATATCCTGAAGGAGAAATCCGGGAAGTCAAAACCTTCCGGCAACAGTAAAGCATGCAAAAGCTTGCTGTCTATGGGATTTGTTTCCACAATTCTAACTGCGTTATTCAGGTACAAGATCGGTTCTGAATGTGTATCAAAATAAATTCTTTAGTAGTTGGTATTTCATATTTTTTCTGTTGCTTTAAGTACATATCTTTTTCAGGGACAGTACAAGGGCCCACGAGGAAAGTCTTGGTGTTCTGAGAGCCAATCTAGACTTCATGAGATATATGGTGTCTATTGCATTGCAGAAGATACAACAGCTGAAGGAGACCGGAGTCACTGATGGGCCTGACGGACAGAATAGTGACAAAATGTTCCACAGCATCTGTGAGATTACCAGGTAATGGACAAAGTGGCCAACTATACCTTGATCGGGTTAATGTAAGATATATCAATGTGTTAATGTTTTCTAAGCTTTCTTTGTGTTTCTTGATTTTTAATGAACACATGGGACAGACACATTTGCTTATGACCTAAGCAGGCTCTGCTTCCTTGTCCATAATTGTGCTGTACCGTTCACTTTCTCAACGCAAATCTACTTATCAGGTCAGTCAGAATGGAAACAGTTGTTGGTCATGGAGGCAGAATCTTTGCAGTGAAATATAGATAGTCAGTAGAGCGAGCGTCTGCAAATGTTTATATGCAGTACAGTAAAATAAATATGGTACTATGAGCATGTTAAAATGTGAGAGATTAAAGTGACATTAAACCCTCAGATTTTTTAACATAAAACAATACTGTAATGTGCGCCTTACTGTAATCCATGGTAGTTTCCCTTCTCTTTGCTGCTCTTCCTTTTAAATCCTCATATCTCATGCTGGGGGAGAACTTCCCTTTGCAGCTCAGGGCCTCTTCCTGTAGTGCTGGCTCAGGTTACAAACCTATACACAGACACCATGTAGCCATTCCTGAGACAAGGCAACTGCTGCAAAACAGAAGTTCTGCCCAGCACGTGAACAGATACAGATTTAAAAGGAAGAGCAGCAAAGAGAAGGGAAACAACCATGGATTACAGTAAGGCACACATTACAGTATTGTTTTATGTTAAAAAATCTGAGGGTTTAATGTCACTTTAAGGTTCTTAAAACACAATATACAGTAGTTTTTGTTTTTATCAACAACTTCGTTGTACATGGCTACTATGATGAATGTGAAACTTAAGCTATCACATTGGAGAACTGTTTTTTTTTTTAGTTTTTTTGTTTATTGTCATTGATTAATAAACACAGGCAGTTGATAAATCATCACTTTGCTGATGGTTAAACCAAGCTTTGGTGGTTTGACAAGCATATGATAACTTGTGTACTTCATAAGCACAGGTTTTATTTAACTCTTAAAAGAAAACTGTACTTGGAGAAAAATAGAAAGCAATAGCGGATCCCCCTCCAAATAATTCTGGCTGCCTGCCTCTCACATACTTTCAATTGCTGACCTGGATCAAGTATAGAACTCCTGATCTGGGGGTCAGTGATGGAATGTATTAAAGCCATATGGATAGATGTCAGCCAGGAAGCCGACACCTTGAAAAATAAGTTGGCAATGGCAGCCTCATGTTTCTAATCAGTGACACAGTCTCGGAGTTTGCCAAAACAATAATGTACTTATAGTGCCAAAATGTATATACTAAAACTTGGTCACAGTTTAAGAAAATGTTAAGCGAATGTTCTATAGAGGACTAAAAGAAGCCATGTTTAGAGGAAAAGTCCAGTTTTCTCTAGGGAAGTGTGCATTTTATAGTAGAGGTATTTCAGAAAGCAGCCTGGGGGGTTTTAACCATTTTGTACTGTTTAGCTTGTGTTTAGAAAAATAAAGATGGTGTCATTACAGCGAATGGAAATACACAAGAAGATGGGACTACAAATTACGATAAAATTCAGAATTTGGCCTTTTTCGCTGGAACATTTTAGAGAATTTAAGTTTTATGTTATCTGCACAACTACTGTACACAGTTTCCAAAACTACCTTTTTGTGTCCTTTCTGTCATTTTAAACAGAATTGTAATGTCATGGTAAAGCAGTAAATCAGTTCTTGACCCATTTAGAAATGCATCTACATGGACTTTTGTGACTATATAAATATTGTTTTCAAATCTGCTTTGTAGTGGCCAGGGAGTAAATTGTGTCTCTCTTTTTTTGTGGTTGGTTTTCTTATCTGTATACAGGGTATTAATGTGGAGATACACCTCTATCCCATCTGCTGCTGAGGATTCTGGGAAAAAGGACAAAGGGAAAAACATTTCTCTGATGTGTTTGGAAGGTTTGGTGCAGATCTTTTACACTATTCAGCTGCGCTACCACACCAAGCTCTCACAGTTTCTGGCTGCTTTGGGTAGGTTTCTTTTTGTTTATGTACAAATTCTCTTGATTTTATAATGGATGCTGTCTTCAATGAGCTTTACAATCCGTAATATTGGCCACCAGCGCTCTGAATGGGGGACTGCAATCAAAATAATAGGACTTTTGTACTCACTGTAAAACCCTTTTCTTGGAGTCCATTGAGGGGCACAGTAGGTCTGTAACCTTCGGGTTATACTGACCCCTACTGAAGAATTGGACACTGGCATACGTACTGTAGGCCAGCCCAGAATAACCCCTTCCACTACCAGCATGCCTCAGATTTGTACCATAGCAGTATGGAGAGCATGATCATAAACACTGAGGGTGGAACTGGTCCCTCGGTAGGCATAATTAAAAGCATTTTAAGCTGAGCACAACAATCCTATTTTTTATACTGGCTTTTTTCTTCAGTCAAGATTCTTGTTACATGTTTTGCTTTACCTCATTGCTTGCCCTGTCACTGAAGACCTGGTGACTGTTATTAGTGAAAGTGCACCTGGTACAGTGGGACTCCACATTCTCACCCACCCATACACTCGCTCACACTCTTTGTCTAGATTAAGGCCCTGTTCACATGATGATCAGGTGCGGATCTGCAGACGCGGTGCTATGTGTTTTGGCCGCGTTTTTGACGCGTTTCCTGACCGTACAAAATGTGACATGCAGTATTTTTTCTGTTGTAACGGACTGCGCACGTGAGAACTGTAGCCCATAAAACACATAGGGATACATTGGGATGCATTTTTAGTGCAGGAGCGTACGGATCAGTAGGAAACTGCATAGCGATAAGACAGCATATAGGTTTAGGATAAGAGACCAGGCCTCATGTAGGAGGGCAGCAGGAACAAATTGAAGGTTAAAGTTCAACCCTTTCAGTGGCAGAACCAGTGGGAATGGGGGAAAAAAAGGCACCCAGCAACCCAACTAATTTGAGTTGGCTTCAGATGCTTGGCCTGACCAGCCTATTGACTAAGTTAGTCTTCAGAGACAGGGCAGGAGTGAATTTATCAAAACTGGAACAGACAGAATCTGGAGCGGTTCCCCCTGGCAACCAATCAGCTTCTCTCAAGATTTGAAAATGAAAGATAGAAGCTGATTGGTTACCATGCACGGCTGCACCAGATTTTTTTTTTCTGCTCCAGTTTTGATAAATCCCTCCTTTAAAATGTTTTATATGTAATCAGGTGAAGGTAAAGTGGTATTTTCTAGATATATTAGAAGTTACCTGATTGAGCTTATTGTTGTCGGAGGTTGTATAGGCCTATACTCAAATTATAATTGAAACATAATCTGATGAGTCAAATCAACACTATCCAATGTCTAATGACTCCTGTGACTACGTTCAAAGCATCTCAGCTGCTCCTCAGAAAACCTAAAACATTTCAGGCTGCTTCTAGGCTTCATCCAGATGCTGCACTCATATTCCAATGTCTGCAACCTAATGGGGAGACACCTGCATTTATTGTGGGATGTAGAATTCCAAGAAGTTGAAACTTGCCCACAGATTGATTGGGGCTTTTGGGGTACTGCAAAGGCATTTCACAATTGTAACAGCAACCTGTAGGTACCAAATGATGTTTGCTAACAACATATAAGGTTGGCTTTGCATCTTGTTCCTAAGTACCAAGGATTAAGTTAGCTGAATAAAAATGCAGCTCCAAGTTTCCTCCACTGCTGGCCAAATATCTAAAATTCTAGACATATGGTCACATGATCCCTTTAGCAGAGGTCACTTTGGCAGCATGAAGAGTACAGGAGGGTCTGAGGAGCAGCATTTTGTTCCAGAAAAGCTAAGCATTTCAGCCCTCTTGTTAGTTTTTATTTACATAGCTTAAAGGCAACATTTACTTTAAAGGTCTGCTTTAAATTTAAGCATGTAGGACTTGCTGTGTAATGTATTACTTTTAATAATTTTTTTTAAGTCTTCTCATTAATCTAAATCACTTAAAAAGTACTGTCTGCTGTATGTTTTAACATGGGGTCATCTGTGTTCTGACAACCTTTATTTCTAGATAATGACAGTGAAGAGGAATCTAGAGAAACAAATATCACGGAGAAGGCTGCCTTTCTGATTTCCCAGTTTGAAGTATGTTTTACAAATGTTCCTATAATGGGGGTACTTTTGCCGTGATGGAGAATACACACAGAATGCAGGAAACCCTCACTCCAGAACACTAAACTTTTTTGTATCTTCCTTCACCTCACCTGAGATCTTTAGGTCAAGCAGTGCTTCCCTTTTCCTCTGTCATAGCTTTGTTACAGAATACCTGTTCTGTTCCTGACTAACATTTCTTCAGCATAGCAATACTTGTAACAGGTTGTGTGAGTAAACACATTCTACATAACTGAAACTGAATATGGTACATAGTTACACAGGAAGCTCATAATGTCTGGCTGGCATATTTCCTTACATCCACCTCTGTAATGTTTTTATGTTTTTAACATGGTTGTCTTGCAGTATAAAGCTTTGATTCAACCAAAGCTTTATTTTAATCACTGTACTATCACATAAAATATATTGCTTTGTCCCATTCTAGCCAGCAGTTAGTCAACAATATGTTCTCGGTAGGTAAAACCGACCAGTGTGAACCGACTTAATAAGGCCCAAGATCAGAAAGTGTTTTCTCACCCTTAGCCTTGGAGGGATTGGACAAATCTGCTTTGAAATTGAGGTCTTTTATTTTGCTTTGTACAATGTTTGTATTTCCACTGGATAGATGTGTCCTGTGTATTCAGCTTCATTTGTGAGGTATGCCTTCATGAAGGATCACCGAGTGCTGAAATCTTGCCAGGCTCACATATATTTGCATTGCTTGTTTTTTTTTGGACCTATATTTAAAGTTGGAGCTGAAACCAATTTCTTCTCTTCAAAAATTGAGGAAAGGTTTGCAGCAGTGCCACTGCCATAAAAACGTAGAATAGGGGAAGTTTAGAGACTCTGTTTTTTTTGTTGCTGTGTCCCATTGGAAAAAAGTTCCCTCACTTCTGTCTTAGAGACAGTGGTCATTCAGAAAGGAAATGAGAAGAGTACTCCCTAGCAGGGACACGGCAATAAATACTTGGAAGAGGGAGTTCAGGTTGACTTATTACCCCCTTTCCTCAGAGGTTAGGTGACCAAAGGCCTTGGTTTGTTGTTTTGTGATCAGCATCGAAAGGATATTCTTTGTATCTCTTGCTGAAGATGGTATAATATGTTGTTGGAAATACTTTTAGTGTTTGCATAGTTACTGTTATATAAAGTTTATTTTCTTTACACAGAGGTCTCTTACAAACCAGCTTAACTGCGGGGAAGATGAATTTAATAGCAAAGAAGCTGTGTTGTTAGTCAACATCCTTTCAATACTGTACCGGTTTCTGGAGCCGTCTTCTCAGCAGGTCAGAGAATGTGCTGATGTTATGCTAATATAGAGGTCCCTGTGCACTTTGTGAGTGCTGTGCAAATGGATAAAATGGCTAGGAAACAAACCTAAACATACTTGCTTTATTTAACTTTTGAACTTTTGTCATTAATACTGAATTATGTCTTGTTTTCTAGTATGTGCAGATGCTGTCATGGATTGTCAAAATTTGTAAAGAAACCAGTTATGGTAAGAAATATTGTGCGTGTGTGTTCGTCCTCCATTGTCTGGCAGTGTAATGTAGCTGGCAAGCATAAGCTTCTGAGCCTAGTGCCTGGCTGGTAGTAAGAGCTACATGAACAGTGTAAAAACTTAAAAATACGTAACATAGCTCAGCCTCAATGTCACAGCCAGAAATATCTCCAGAGAGCATTAATCAAATTTTCATATTGGCCTTAGATTGCCTACATATTCAGGATTTGTTTTGGTGTGTGTGCTTATTTAGAGCATTCGGTACAAATTGTGACCCCGATGTAGAGGAGTCATTCTAAACAAGTATTTCTGTGTATTAAATGATATCCACAGTAATGTAAAACTTAATTATTGGCCATTCGTGAGGGCCTGGAGAGTTTTCCTTGGCACTTAGTCAGTGGCTTTTTTTTTGTTTCTACAGAGGATGTCCAGTTCTGTAAAAGTGCAATGACTCTTCTGTTTAGTATGCATTCTCTGTTCAAGAGTCCTGTGAGCATACTCCGAGAGCTCGGCCAAGACATCCATGGACACCTTGGTGATATTGATCAGGTGAATAGAGCTCTATCTTTCCATACTGTACTGTTTGCTTTCTTATACTATAAAATAATTTATAATCAGTTCTCATAAATTGCATAATATCTTGGACCTAAGTTTGAAACTTTGGTCTAAGAACTGCAGCTCTTATTTGCCTGTAATCAGTTTTCACATGCTCCTCATGGGCAATGTTGGCTTCCCACTTCCTTTGTAAATTTGCGATCATATAAGCTCTATTTCAGGGTTGTCAACCTCAGCACTTCAGCTGTAGTGAAACAAAAAAAAAACTGTAAAATCCTTTTCTTAGAGTCCATTGAGGGACACAGTTTTGAAGGATTCTCAGACGTAGGGTTATATGCTGCTTTCTCCAGAACAAATGAGGCAAGTGTTCACTTTTACCTCCCATTGCGTTTTTTAAAGTAATCCAAGGTAATTTCAAAGACGACCCCTCATGTAGGATAAACACAAGTCACCTTTTGGATTGGGGTTCCACTGACCAGTACTTAAACCAGATGTTTCTGGAGATCTGAATGGAAGAGACAGACACTCAAGACAACAGATGATGAGTAGCGAGAAATGTATCGCATGCAAAATGAGAAGCAACAGTCATCTGATCCACAATCAATAAAATGTGGATTAACTCCAGCAGTCATCTGTTCTGTACTTTTGTCCAATGTCTTGACTTTTTGTCCAGCATGTCTTGACTTGCCTCCTGGCTTCCTGATTGGTCAGGAAACTACGCTGCCTAGCAACAAGTGAAACTGGCTTCTTAGCCAATCAGGAAGCTGGGAGGCTAGTCATAACTCACCGCCCGGCTCCCTGATTGGAAAGGAAGCTGGCTCCATGCTCCCTCGGCACTGCCAGTTAGAGGGAAATCTCCCACTGACCGAAATTTCCGGTATCGGAGGTAAGTATTGAAGCATTTGGGGCAAGTAAGAGTACTTGCCCAAATGCTTGGTTTAGAAACGGGTACTAGTATCGCTATCAGTGCATCCCTAACAAAAAGTAACAATTTTTACCAGAAAGCCTGAGCAAAAATAGGAGAGTTCCTCCACATGGCCAACTTGTAAAGTACATAAAGTATAACAAGCACAAGTCACCATAGCAACACCTCAGAGGCACTGTAGTGTACGGGTCACTTGTGATTGGTAGAACCAGACACCTCAGTGACACCAATGTAAAGCACAAATGTCACAAGTTTCTAAATAAACCGGTAAATAAAATCGGTGAAACGCCACATACAAAGGCATTTAGGAGTCTAGAAGCACACATCCCGAGTAACTAAAAAGGAGGCAAAACGCCCAACCTTGTAAACATGAGGTAAATAAATTTTTTACTCACAACCTTATTCCTGACATAATGACAGGAATCCCCAGGTAACACTGACCTGAACGTTTAATGAGGAACACAGGACCACCGCAGGACGAGTCATAAGTACTGAGATCAGAGACGACCTGGTTCATGACCGACGCAGGGCAAAGCATAAGTACTAAGACCAGAAATTACCTGCTTTTTGACAACTTGAGAAACTTCCAGGATTTACCTTATCTGACATGAATCTGTTTTGTCCGCTAGCTAGAGAGATTCCCAGGACTTAATATCTGATATGAATCAACTAGCAGTTCTTGGTAGTAGAATCTTCAATGAAGAAAGAAAAAAAATTAATTAAAATAATAAAGCAGAAGAGAAGGAGACATCTATTCTTCTGAAGACACTAAGCAAACTGGCAGGTGGGAGGGGTTACATCTTTAAAGTGACAGGTTTAAAAAAAAAATTAGTTTGCCTAGTGTGCATTTCTCCTGGAGGCAGCAGCATAACCCTACGTCTCACAATTCTTCAAAGCTGTGTCCTCCATTGGATAATGGGTAAATCCCATTGTGCCTTTGCCTGTTGCTGTCCGCAATGCCTCATGGGGGTTGTAGTTCTACAACAGCTGGAGTGCAAAGGTTGCCTACCCCTGCTCTATTTCGTACAACGTTACATTCCTACAGTGTTTACAAGTTTATGATTTCAGGGATATTTATTCAAGTATTTTCTTTCCTTCAGGACATTGAAGTAGAGAAACCATCGCACTTCCAAATTGTTAATTTAAAGACCGCAGCTCCGACTGTCACTGTGAGTATCTAATCAATAAATGTTTCTAATGTAACCACAGATACTCCTGTGCTACACTATAATGTAAGCAGAGCCACTTATATCTATTCACATCATGACTTTATTTTAATTGGAGAATGAACATGTGATGCAGAGATTGTAATTCTAGGGTCTAGACTTGTGATGGCAAACCTATGGCACACGTGCCACACAGGCCCCTCCGCAAACTCCAGGTTGTTACCTGGGGTGCTCCCTGTGGGCCTCCGGTGTCCCATGGGTCTCATTACGTCTTTAAAGATGGCCGTCGCAAATGGCGGTGGTCATCTTTAAATCTGGAAGGTGCCCAGATCCTATATTGCCAAGCCGGCAATATATTAAATGAAAATCATCCTGTGGTGGTCCAGTGCAGGGTAAGTATGATCTGCATCTCTTGCTGATGCAGACCATACTTATCACTCCCTCATGGTGCTGCTGCCCACAGGAAGGAGCGATTTAGTATGGTCTGCATCAGCCAGAGATGCAGACCATAATGATCCTCTACTGGACCACCTGGATAATGCCACTGGACCCAAGGGATGCAGCCCCCTCCCTGCAAATCAGGTAAGCAGTAGAGGGAGCAATTTTTTTAATTGTTAGTGTGTGTGTTTTTTTGAGTGTGCGATGTGTGTGTGTTTATGAATGTATGATTATATTTGTGTTGGTGTCTGTGAATGTATATAATACCAAACATATTGTCAGTATTGGCACTTTGAGATAAACTGATTTTGCGTTGCAGTTTGGGCGCTCGGGTTCAAACATCTTCACCATCAGTGGTCTAGACTGTATGGTAATGGCTAGAAGATACTGGTAACTAGAGTAACTGCAAGGTAGTCTTCTGAGCAGTTTGTGAATCGGTCTGTGTCTGATACATTCATTTGTTTTATTGCTAGGTGGCAATATTTTTATGATGCAGTTCCTAAACAATGTGACTTGGCCTACAGCTGAGTGAAACAATGTTGGTCTCAATGGCCGTATCACGTTTGGGCACATCCAGCCTTTAAGAATGTTTGCACATTGTATAAATATTAGTCTTTATTGTTCTTCATATCACCTTCTTCAGGTTTTGGTTCTAGGTCAAGCTGCAAAGGTTTTGGATGAGGTAGAATGGTTAATTGCTAAACTGAAAACACAGACCGGTTCAGAGAAGAAAAATGGTGAGTGGACTGTCTGCCTAGTGATAGCAGTACATAGTGTAGTCATATTTACCCTATGCCTGTTCTCACATGCCAATGCACACCTCCCTCTCTCCACTCATTTGTCTATCTTACAATCTAGTCTGCTTCTCAAGGCTTTCTAACACTTGGCTCTATTTTTTAATGCTCATTTAAAAGTTTTGTGTAACTAGAACTACAGATATGGTAAAGCAATGTCACCTTGGCTTACAGAGGAGTTTACAGTAGATAGGGTTCCACAGGGACCTCAAAGTTAGGCACAGTAGGTTGAAAGATGCATTCAATATGTCCACAGTGATATCAGTTAGTGTCAGGCAATGTTGAGTCAATAAGTATCTTCATATAGTAGTGAGTCGAGGGCAACATATTTGAGCAGTATAGTAGTCCCAGTGGATAGTAAAGAGAAATGACTCCAAAGGAAAAGACAGAAGACATCAGATAAAGTGAGTAGGGGAGGGTAGGCAAGGAGCGTGGGGAGAGGAAGGAGCTACTCAGTGCACTAGAATTCTATTCATTGAGAGAATGAGTGCATGTTACTAATTACCTTCAACATATCTGGCTTCATCAGTCTCAGCTAATGTGGCTGAATTACAAAGACTGGGCTAATGGAAAGTGAAGCAAGGATGTGGAAGATGATAGAGCAGCAATTCTCAGATGGTTTTTCCACAAGGTCTCACATGACTGTATCAGAGGTCACCCGAGCCTCACACTTCCTCTACGTTATACAGTGACAATTTGCAGTCAATCTGTGTTTTGTCTGTGACATGATTAAACGCTGTGTTTTTAGCAAAGATAATACCAGATACATTTGGCGTCTTAACCAAAATTGTTTTGAGCAGCTACCCCAGTTTTCTTTTTCACTGGCTTTGGTACATTGTTTCCACTTGTCTTGTTTCATGCAATGTCTGACAGAATGTGGGTGAGCATGGTGTAGCAGGGGTTAAAGGCCTTTTTAGTGGGTGCCGCTGGAGCGGTTGGGATGCCTTTGCTGAAATGCCACAAATAAAAACCTAATTGGGTAGATACTAATTTAGCAGACAAAGGAGCCAGCGATGAGTGGACAGACCAGGGCTATTGGGAAAACACTTACTGTGCTTTATAATGATTAAACAATCTATAATAAGGTAACCAGGACCTAAGATCATAGAACACACAGTACTGAATTATCCCCAAAACATTTTCTGCACTCTTTTGATTGTATTTTTTCCCAGATGACAATGGTACTCAAGCTACAAATCCTAGGGAACCCATAGAAAAGGCTGTCATTCTACAGCTGGGTACATTACTGACCGCCTGCCATGAACTGATCCAGACCGCATTACCTACTGGAAGCTGTATAGACACTTTATTGAAGGAGCTTACTAAGATGTACACAGCTCTGACTGCTCTTCTCAAATATGTAAGTCAATCTAATGGACACATGACAGATGAGTTTTATCCTGACGTGTATCATATGGCTTCTTTTTTTATAAAGTCTAGTAATGAGCTGCCTTGTCTGACATTGTATGTCTTATGTTCAGTATTTGCAGGTTTGTACTAATAATTTGGGGGCTGTTCCTACACGTTTGGAAAAGTTGGTAAGTTTCTTTTAACACTCCAAATTGTTCTTTTTCCTGGAAAAACAAAGCTTAACAGCATCCTTCTTATCTACAGGTTAAACTGTCAGGCTCACATCTAACCCCTCAATGCTATGCCTTCATTACATATACACAGGTATGTGCAGCTACAGTCTTAGGAATGGCAGCATAGCTTAGTGATTTAAATGTTTTAACGGTCCAAAACTCATCATAAGCCTAGTGGAGTGTCCTGTTTCTATCTTGAAATCAGTACTCTGAACACTTGATCATAGCATGTACTCATGATGAGATGACAGATGATAGAAGCAATAGTTTATATGATGTGCGGTGAATGGACACCAATATTGTCATTTTGCTCAGTGGTGCACATATGTAAGTTCGATTTTGTCCTGGGACAGCCATCTGACAGGAACTTTCTACATCCATATAGAATGGCTGTCATGTAATCATTATACGTTTATTGGAGCCTGGTTACCTTACGTAGGTGTATTTTTACAATGAGCGTATATTGAAATGAGGTATAATGAGGGACATTTGGTTCCAATTTGTGTTTCCTGTTTTTTCAGAATCAGTGTCTTGTGTTTATTCATTTTGTTTTGTTAAACAGAATATACAGAATGAGGCACTGTCGGGAGAAAAAAAGAAAAAGGAGGATGTGGCTGCATTATCTTCTGTAAGTTGTACATCTTTGTATTGTTGTATAGAATATTTGTACAATGGGTCAGTGAACAGCATCCCTTCTAGAGGTCTACGTTGAGGAAAGCCATAACCCAGATGGGCCCAAAAGGTAAATGGAAACATCCATAATATCTTTATAGTAATAACCACTTTTATATGAAAGTTGTTATCAATAGCTGCATGCACTTAGTGAGGGTAACCACCTAAACTGTAATATACAAGCCATCATGATTTAACAACTGCCAGAAACATTCAGATTTCACTTATTGAAGCCTTTGAAATCCTTACTTAAAACTAAAGGCTGTTGCCAAAGAACTCTTTCTCTATAAATAATTGGCATTACTTTCAGACAACTAGCATTTTCAAAAGCAGAGGTCAACAATCATGGCCTGACACATTTTTTGTGGCAGGTTTTTATTACATTATATAT